AAGTTTATAGAACATCTGTTAGACCAGCCATGCTATATGGGATTGAATGCTGGACAGTTGGAAAACAGACATATTCATAGTTCCTGTAGGTACATATTAGCCAAATGTTACAACCAGCACAGTGATATGCACACCTCTATCTCTATTTCTCTAACGGCATATTAGCCATTATTAGACACAAATTGTTAAGAGATCAGATTAAAATATTTGTCACCTTTTGAATCCTTCAAAATTGGAGATGTTTGCTGAATAATCTTTGCTACGCTTCAAAATTGAAGGGTCATTGCCTAACCTTAAAAGCCTGGTTTTTATAGTGAAAGGGATGTCAATGAACTCGAGGTCTATCCTTCTTCTAAAGCATTTTCAGCTAATGAAGTCACAGTCCTTTTACACTAATGGAGGCTCGATAAACGAAATTTCATGTTGGTATGTTAATCTGGTGCTTTTGAAGTCGGTTTGAAAAGTTAAATATAATTAAGAGATTCCCAACCCATGTGTTAGCAAATGCACCCTCTAATTTTTTTTATTTTTTTTCTTTGGAGTTGAGGTGGAGTTCACACAACAGAAACACAGATGCTGATACAAGAACAAATATAAAAGCTTAAATGAATTAGATTTTTCACTTGAGGTGGTGTAATATTTCTTCTTTTTTTTCTGTTCTTTGGTGGGTTGGTTTTGGGTTCCTATGCAACAGGAGGAGGAGACAAATCTTTCTTCTTCTTTTTTTCTCTCAGCAAACAAGAGGGCATGATCAATTGTCAAAATCTATAACAGAAATGCAATATCCAAAGAATGAAAAGCAGTCCAACCAAGAAGAAACTAGCAAATATTAGTGAATCAACAAAACTTACGAATTTAGCAAATAAAGAACCTGAAGCCAGTTTCAAGCAGAAAAAACTTACTTGTGTAATATGAAGAGCCTGCTGAATTTGAATCCATTGTTCTGTAACAATGTCAGCCATCTGAAAGCAAAGAGAAAGAAGCCAATGGCAAAATGAACACCACACTAACAACATCACACACTCATAGCCATAGAACAAAGATGGATTGAGTACATCAGTGCATGACCTTTAGAGCCTGAGAGGCAACCGTTTCGAGTCTATCCTCGGCATCTTGTGCTTTAGACTCTAAAAAATCGGCCTAGGCCGGCGGCTAGGCGGCTAGGCGGCTAGGCGGCTAGGCGGGCGCTAGGGGGCTGGGCGGGCCTCCTAGGCAGGTTGGGTCTTTTTTCGGAGCCGAACCCGGAGGACGAAGCAGCCGAAACCGAAGAAAACAAATCGAAGCTTGAGTTGATAGAGAAGCGAAACTTCGACTGCAACCTCCGTCCTCTGCGGCTAGCGGGCACTAGGCGGCTAGGCGGCTAGGCGGGCCTCCTAGGCGGGTTGGGTCTTTTTTCGTTGCCGAACTCGGAGGACGAAGCAGCCGAAACCGAAGAAAACAAATCGAAGCTTGAGTTGATAGAGAAGCGAAACTTCGACTGCAACCTCCGTCCTCTGCGGCTAGGCGGGCGCTAGGCGGCTAGGCGGCTGGGCGGGGCTCCTAGGCGGGTTGGGTCTTTTTTCGTTGCCGAACCCGGAGGAAGAAGCAACCGAAACCGAAGAGAACAAGTCGAAGCTTGAGTTGATAGAGAAGCGAGACTTCGACTGCAACCTCCGTCCCCTGCGAGTGCAAGCTTCGTGTTCTTAAAATATTCGAATGTATATAGAAAGTATAGCCGACCGGCTATACGTTTAAAATTTTATAATATATTTGGCGAGTATAGCCGACCGGCTATACTCTTGAAATATACAATTTTGTAATATCATTTTAAGGTTTGGGGCTGAAATACCACTTTAGTCCATTGGACTAGAGCTATTTCTTCAATTATTTTATTGGTACAAACGATATTAGGGAATGAGAATTTAAATTCTTTCCAATACCTCACATTCTAATGATTTCCAGCTATTAGCCCATTGGGCAAGAATAAAAAAAATGGATTTTATTTATAACAAACAACACGGGTTTAACCCATAAATTCAACAACAAAAAATAGGATGTCAATGAACTCGAGGTCAATCCTTCTTCTAAAGCATTTTCAGCTATTGAAGTCACAGTCCTTTTAGACTAAGGGAGGCTCGATAAACAATATTTCATGCTGGTGTGTTAATCTAGTGCTTTTGAAGTCAATTTGAAAAGTTTAATACAATTAAGAGATTCCTAACCCTTGCGTTTGCTTAATACAATTAAGAGATTCCTAACCCATGCGTTAGCAAATGCAAAAACCTAGGTTTTATGCCTAACTATTTCCCATGTTGTATATCAACTAGCTTTGTAACACCCCGACTCCAAATTTATCCCATGTTTTAATTTATTTAAGTGGAATTGAGAAATTACCCGTGGGATAGGGGTATTTTAGTCATTTTCTTATTCGGAAGGAATTTGGGAATTCCGGTTGTACCGTTGCGTAGAGCACGGTGAGATGAGTCCGTAGACACGTAGTGGGCTCGAATCGGAGTTGTAACGAGAGAGATATGATCAAATGAAGCTCAGTGGCATAATCGTAAATATTTTGAAGTGGGATTTTTGGTTAAAAGACGGAATTGCCCCCGTCTCTCTCACACTCTCTCTCTCCCGCGCGTCGCTCTCTCTCTCCTCTGGTTCGCGACAGCCACCGTGGCCGACCACGTTTTGGCCGGCCGTTCGCTCGTCCGGCCACCAAAGTCGACGGGGCCGGTACCAAAATGACCGGGCAGCCGTCCTCTTCCTACCCCGGCCAGGTCCCGCCGCCAGCCGCCGTGGTTTCGCCGGAAAACGAAGAGAAAAGCTCCGGTTTTGACAGAAAATTCGCCGGCTTCGTTCTCCGTCGTCCGGCCGCCATTTTTGGCGATCAAGGTATGGAAATCTATCCTTTCCTCATGATCTAGCTGATGGATGGGTAGGATTTCGTTAATTTTGAGCCTAGATTATCTGATTTTCGAGTTAGGGTTCGGCCGGATTTCGGGATGAGATTCCGGCCACTTCCGGTCAGTTTTTGGGGTACGTCCAAGAACAAAAGTGACTCCAAATTAGGTGTATTACCTAGGGTAGGAGTCTGGGCTCACGATTTGGAAGTTTTCCGGCGATGGGTATCGCTTTGGACACCCACGCGCTGCCGGCGCGTGTGGCGGCGCGTGGGCACTGTAGCTGAGGGGCATTTTTGTCCCAATGTGATCCTCAGGTTGTCATGAGCGCGTAGGTGTGCTCGGATCTCAATTTGGATATTGTTAGAGTCCCGAACGGATATCGCATATCGCGTGTTTTCCAGGTTCGCTGGGTTTGGACCGTTGGATGGTCCTGAGATTATTATATGTTGATCTAGGTATTACCAAGATCGTGTAGGATTCGACGGATCGTAAAACGGAGTCCCGGATACTCCGGAAATGCCAACCCTGGGGTTAGGGTTTTAGTAACCGTCCGATCGTGCGATCGTGAGCGATCCGACCGTCCGATCTGGACCAAACTTGCAGGACGTGCATCCTAGAGCTTGTAGAACCTATAGGAACTTTCGGATCGGAAATTGGAGGTCGTGGGCCCCGCGGGCCCGTTTGACCAAGGTTGGGTTATAAATGTGTTTTATGCAGGTGGAAATTTTGGGGAAATGTTCAATTTATAGGGAAGGCTCTGCTGAAATTTCGGCAGAAAGTGTCGTGCCCTTGATCCTCTATGGTAAATGAGGACGTAGATTTAAGGAGTGAACCCGGCATGGGTGTGATGCTGGGGTCTCCGCAGGGTTCGTCTCGGGTTCCGGGAAATTCGGGACGGGTCCTGTCAGCTTGGTATCAGAGCTTAGGTTCAATTTCTTGTGGACCCCGCACCTAGTGTGCATCCTTAAGTTGTGGGAGCATGATGGGTTCCGTCACAGGACGTCCTCATTTTGACGCAGAGGACTCTTTGACATGGATGGATTTAGGGTATTGATGAGTACATTTAAGGGTGTCACGTTTCTAGAAACGTGTCTATCCAAATTGTCGTATCTCAATATCCTATGGAAGGAAACGGAAGAGCTGAAAGTGTTGAATCTGCTGAGATGAGATGAAATTGTCAGAGGAAGTTGATGGACAAGTTACAAGGGAATGGAGGAGTTGTAAGTCTGACCAAGGAGGCTCGTGTGTGGTGGGAATACCACGAGCAAATCCAAGGATGAGACCTAGATGGATTGGTAAACCTACCGTGGAGATGAAGAGATTGCTTTGGGGTCTCATCTCATGTGAACACGTTTGAGTAGAAATCTTTGATTCGAATCAGAAATGGGTCATGGTAGAGAGAGGAAGATGATGATTACAATTCGGTAAAAATGACCCTTTCTGACATCCCTCTCAAGAATCGTGTTGGCAATGTTGCTTATCGATTCTAAAGAAAGAAGGAAGATATCAACAAGTCAAGGAGTTTGGACTTCTCTTCGTGGGAGGGCTAGAAGAGAATCAAATCACAAATGGAATGACTTGGCTGCCAACTTGGTTGTGGAGGATGAAGCATGGGAACCCGAGCAGTAGATGCGGGCCCAGTACCCACACCCTTTGAAGTGGCAGGTATGAAATTTCGGGGACGAAATTTTTATAAGGGGGGTAGTCTGTAACACCCCGACTCCAAATTTATCCCATGTTTTAATTTATTTAAGTGGAATTGAGAAATTACCCGTGGGATAGGGGTATTTTAGTCATTTTCTTATTCGGAAGGAATTTGGGAATTCCGGTTGTACCGTTGCGTAGAGCACGGTGAGATGAGTCCGTAGACACGTAGTGGGCTCGAATCGGAGTTGTAACGAGAGAGATATGATCAAATGAAGCTCAGTGGCATAATCGTAAATATTTTGAAGTGGGATTTTTGGTTAAAAGACGGAATTGCCCCCGTCTCTCTCACACTCTCTCTCTCCCGCGCGTCGCTCTCTCTCTCCTCTGGTTCGCAACAGCCACCGTGGCCGACCACGTTTTGGCCGGCCGTTCGCTCGTCCGGCCACCAAAGTCGACGGGGCCGGTACCAAAATGACCGGGCAGCCGTCCTCTTCCTACCCCGGCCAGGTCCCGCCGCCAGCCGCCGTGGTTTCGCCGGAAAACGAAGAGAAAAGCTCCGGTTTTGACAGAAAATTCGCCGGCTTCGTTCTCCGTCGTCCGGCCGCCATTTTTGGCGATCAAGGTATGGAAATCTATCCTTTCCTCATGATCTAGCTGATGGATGGGTAGGATTTCGTTAATTTTGAGCCTAGATTATCTGATTTTCGAGTTAGGGTTCGGCCGGATTTCGGGATGAGATTCCGGCCACTTCCGGTCAGTTTTTGGGGTACGTCCAAGAACAAAAGTGACTCCAAATTAGGTGTATTACCTAGGGTAGGAGTCTGGGCTCACGATTTGGAAGTTTTCCGGCGATGGGTATCGCTTTGGACACCCACGCGTGTGGCGGCGCGTGGGCACTGTAGCTGAGGGGCATTTTTGTCCCAATGTGATCCTCAGGTTGTCATGAGCGCGTAGGTGTGCTCGGATCTCAATTTGGATATTGTTAGAGTCCCGAACGGATATCGCATATCGCGTGTTTTCCAGGTTCGCTGGGTTTGGACCGTTGGATGGTCCTGAGATTATTATATGTTGATCTAGGTATTACCAAGATCGTGTAGGATTCGACGGATCGTAAAACGGAGTCCCGGATACTCCGGAAATGCCAACCCTGGGGTTAGGGTTTTAGTAACCGTCCGATCGTGCGATCGTGAGCGATCCGACCGTCCGATCTGGACCAAACTTGCAGGACGTGCATCCTAGAGCTTGTAGAACCTATAGGAACTTTCGGATCGGAAATTGGAGGTCGTGGGCCCCGCGGGCCCGTTTGACCAAGGTTGGGTTATAAATGTGTTTTATGCAGGTGGAAATTTTGGGGAAATGTTCAATTTATAGGGAAGGCTCTGCTGAAATTTCGGCAGAAAGTGTCGTGCCCTTGATCCTCTATGGTAAATGAGGACGTAGATTTAAGGAGTGAACCCGGCATGGGTGTGATGCTGGGGTCTCCGCAGGGTTCGTCTCGGGTTCCGGGAAATTCGGGACGGGTCCTGTCAGCTTGGTATCAGAGCTTAGGTTCAATTTCTTGTGGACCCCGCACCTAGTGTGCATCCTTAAGTTGTGGGAGCATGATGGGTTCCGTCACAGGACGTCCTCATTTTGACGCAGAGGACTCTTTGACATGGATGGATTTAGGGTATTGATGAGTACATTTAAGGGTGTCACGTTTCTAGAAACGTGTCTATCCAAATTGTCGTATCTCAATATCCTATGGAAGGAAACGGAAGAGCTGAAAGTGTTGAATCTGCTGAGATGAGATGAAATTGTCAGAGGAAGTTGATGGACAAGTTACAAGGGAATGGAGGAGTTGTAAGTCTGACCAAGGAGGCTCGTGTGTGGTGGGAATACCACGAGCAAATCCAAGGATGAGACCTAGATGGATTGGTAAACCTACCGTGGAGATGAAGAGATTGCTTTGGGGTCTCATCTCATGTGAACACGTTTGAGTAGAAATCTTTGATTCGAATCAGAAATGGGTCATGGTAGAGAGAGGAAGATGATGATTACAATTCGGTAAAAAATGACCCTTTCTGACATCCCTCTCAAGAATCGTGTTGGCAATGTTGCTTATCGATTCTAAAGAAAGAAGGAAGATATCAACAAGTCAAGGAGTTTGGACTTCTCTTCGTGGGAGGGCTAGAAGAGAATCAAATCACAAATGGAATGACTTGGCTGCCAACTTGGTTGTGGAGGATGAAGCATGGGAACCCGAGCAGTAGATGCGGGCCCAGTACCCACACCCTTTGAAGTGGCAGGTATGAAATTTCGGGGACGAAATTTTTATAAGGGGGGTAGTCTGTAACACCCCGACTCCAAATTTATCCCATGTTTTAATTTATTTAAGTGGAATTGAGAAATTACCCGTGGGATAGGGGTATTTTAGTCATTTTCTTATTCGGAAGGAATTTGGGAATTCCGGTTGTACCGTTGCGTAGAGCACGGTGAGATGAGTCCGTAGACACGTAGTGGGCTCGAATCGGAGTTGTAACGAGAGAGATATGATCAAATGAAGCTCAGTGGCATAATCGTAAATATTTTGAAGTGGGATTTTTGGTTAAAAGACGGAATTGCCCCCGTCTCTCTCACACTCTCTCTCTCCCGCGCGTCGCTCTCTCTCTCCTCTGGTTCGCGACAGCCACCGTGGCCGACCACGTTTTGGCCGGCCGTTCGCTCGTCCGGCCACCAAAGTCGACGGGGCCGGTACCAAAATGACCGGGCAGCCGTCCTCTTCCTACCCCGGCCAGGTCCCGCCGCCAGCCGCCGTGGTTTCGCCGGAAAACGAAGAGAAAAGCTCCGGTTTTGACAGAAAATTCGCCGGCTTCGTTCTCCGTCGTCCGGCCGCCATTTTTGGCGATCAAGGTATGGAAATCTATCCTTTCCTCATGATCTAGCTGATGGATGGGTAGGATTTCGTTAATTTTGAGCCTAGATTATCTGATTTTCGAGTTAGGGTTCGGCCGGATTTCGGGATGAGATTCCGGCCACTTCCGGTCAGTTTTTGGGGTACGTCCAAGAACAAAAGTGACTCCAAATTAGGTGTATTACCTAGGGTAGGAGTCTGGGCTCACGATTTGGAAGTTTTCCGGCGATGGGTATCGCTTTGGACACCCACGCGCTGCCGGCGCGTGTGGCGGCGCGTGGGCACTGTAGCTGAGGGGCATTTTTGTCCCAATGTGATCCTCAGGTTGTCATGAGCGCGTAGGTGTGCTCGGATCTCAATTTGGATATTGTTAGAGTCCCGAACGGATATCGCATATCGCGTGTTTTCCAGGTTCGCTGGGTTTGGACCGTTGGATGGTCCTGAGATTATTATATGTTGATCTAGGTATTACCAAGATCGTGTAGGATTCGACGGATCGTAAAACGGAGTCCCGGATACTCCGGAAATGCCAACCCTGGGGTTAGGGTTTTAGTAACCGTCCGATCGTGCGATCGTGAGCGATCCGACCGTCCGATCTGGACCAAACTTGCAGGACGTGCATCCTAGAGCTTGTAGAACCTATAGGAACTTTCGGATCGGAAATTGGAGGTCGTGGGCCCCGCGGGCCCGTTTGACCAAGGTTGGGTTATAAATGTGTTTTATGCAGGTGGAAATTTTGGGGAAATGTTCAATTTATAGGGAAGGCTCTGCTGAAATTTCGGCAGAAAGTGTCGTGCCCTTGATCCTCTATGGTAAATGAGGACGTAGATTTAAGGAGTGAACCCGGCATGGGTGTGATGCTGGGGTCTCCGCAGGGTTCGTCTCGGGTTCCGGGAAATTCGGGACGGGTCCTGTCAAGCTTCTCCACATGCGCTTCCGCGCCTGCGTGAGGCGTTTTTTTATAAAATAAAAAAAATTATTTAGAATTATAAAAGATAATGGGTAATTGTGTTCCATAAAAATAGAATCTTTCATCTGCTTTTTCTTTTATTTTTTTTTCTGTGAAAAAGAGTGAATTTACCATATTATCCTCATTTAATTAATAATTTCAATTCTTAATGTTTGCATTAACCAAGGGTGTTTTATGATATTTTGAATGTTTTACCATTCTCTACCTTTTGCTTTATATATATATATAGATTATGGTACTTTATCATTTATATGTTCTTTTATTTTTGCATTTTTATGTATAAATTTATATTTTCGATTTTCGATTTTCGATGACACCCCGGAAAGTCTAAAGCTGAGACACACATGGATTGATTTTCGCACAAGAAAAAAGGCATCACTTCCAGTACACAAGCAGAGAACGGCTTTGCATTCTATGAGAAAAACAATCTTTTTGTTCTTCCCAATATTATCATCTGATGATGAGATATGATAATACGAGATATGATGTGGTTACTCAGAAAGAAGTGGTTACTTACTATTGTATTGACAGATGGTATTATATTATCAGATTTCTGTTTTGGTTGGATTTACAGCTGGTGAGTTTTTATTTTGTTACATTCATAGCTTCCTGGTGGTTGATCTTTTACTTTTCCATTTACTTGCAGTTACGAAGGATCTTAAGTATGCTCATTCTCATGAGTCATGAGTGGGTTAAAGTTCATGCAAAATCTGCAAGTTTTGGAATAACTAATCATGCTCAAACTCATTTAGGTTATGTTGTGTGTGTTAAGTGGCTTGAAGTGGGCCCAGGCCAGCATGGCACAAGTCCATCACGTTTAAATGTGGACTTAGGCTTTGGACTGTGCTGAAATCGATGGTTTTACCAAATAGGCCAGCACGGCATGACCCGGTAAATTAAATGGCCAGCCTAGCATGACACGAATACCTTAAATGCACAAATTTAAATGAGCCCGGCTCGGCCCGACTCCACCCATTTAACACCTCTAGCAGATTAAGAGAGAGGATATATATATATATATATATATATGTGTGTGTGTGTGTGTGTGTGTGTGTGGGTAGGATTTTGTCCTATTAGCAATTAATTTGAACTTATATTATTGACAACAAAATTTAAGAAAACTATGGTGCTTGATTAACTAGTTCATTATTATGTAATGAAATGTTATATCTGCTAAGTTAATGTGGGGACGTGACTGCAATATCGTGGTGGTGATAATGATGGTCATGCTTTGCTTGCTTGTGTGCACGATCACAATTTGTACTAGAGGTGTCAAATAGGATGGACCAGGCTAGCACTACACGAGCCCACCACATTTAAATGTGGACTTGGGCTTTGGCCCATGCTGGAATCAATGATTTTACTAAATGGGCAAACACGGCGCGGCCTAGTAAATTAAATAGGCCAACCTAGCACGACATGAATACTATAAAGGCACAAATTTAAATGAACCTAAATTGGCCCGATCCGACCCGTTTAACACCTGTATTGCAGATTAAGAGAAAGGATATATATATATATCTGGGTAGGATTTTTTCCTATTAGCAATTAATTTGAACTTGTATTATTGACAACAAAATTTAAGAAAACCATGGTACTTCATTAACTAGTTCATTATTATGTAACGAAATGTTATATCTGCTAAGTTAATGTGGGGATTAATTTATCCTTTGGCCTTTGTGTTTGTATATATATATGGCACTATTTCTCTTAGGGTTTTAATAGCTGTCTCTCTCCCTCTCCTTCATCCTCTTTAAAAATCAAATCATAGTGGCATGTGACTGCAATATCGTGGTGGTCATAATGATAGGCACACTTCGACTACTTGTGTGCATGATCACGGTTTGAACTAGAGTCGTCAAATAGAACGGGCCAGGACACCAAGGCACAAGCCCAGCATGTTTAATTGTGGACTTGGGCTTTGGGTTGTGCTGAAATCAATGGTTTTACTAAATTGGCCAGCACGGCAATGCCCAGTAAATTAAATAGGCCAGCCTAGCACGACACAAATACCTTAAAGACACAAATTTAAATGGGCTGACACCTCTTAGATTAAGAGAGGATATATATCTGGGTAGGATATTGTCCTATTAGCAATTAATTTGAACTTATATTATTGACGACAAAATTTAAGAAAACTATGGTACTTGATTAACTAATGCATTATTATGTAATGAAATGTTATATGCTAGGTTAATGTGGGGATTAATTTATCCTTTGGCTTTCGTTTTCGTGTTTGTGTACATATATATATATATATAATATATGGCACTATTTCTCATAGAGTTTTCATAGTTGTCTCGCTCCCTCTCCCTCCTCCTTAAAAATCAAATCATAGTGGCATGTGACTGCAATATCGTGGTGGTGATAATGACGGGCACTTATGTGCACAATCACGGTTTGGACTAGAGGTGTCAAATAAAACAAGCTGCACGAGCCTAGCACATTTAAATGTGGATTTTGGCTTTGGCCCGTGCTAGAATCAATGGTTTTACTAAATGGATTCCCACGAAAGAAAAAACGAAAAAAAAAGACGAAGAAAAAATTGAACTTGATTTACTGTGAAATTGCTATCTTTTCAATATCTACTTTGGATATGTTGAAACTAGCACATTAATAACTATAAAGTATAAACTAATGGAAGTAGGCCACAAAATTAATAAATATCACAGCAGAATTAAAACATGAGGAAACAGTTTGCTTAGAACGGCATCATACAATGGTAAAAAACAACACAAAACACATGCTCTCTAAAGAATTTGAAAATTCTAGACTGGTTTCTCCTATCACTAACTAAGTAAGTGAGTATGATTGAAGTACTTGTAATTGCATACCTTTTAACACATGCACATTGCAGTGGCATTTTAGGAGATCCTTCCTCACACAATTTGGGAACTTCATGAGTCTTTGCCCCAAATATGAAGCACTTGCCTTCTTTTGTTGAAAATGCTTTAAAAGAAGGACCAACTTCGAATTCCTTGAGATCCCTTTCACTATAAGAACAAGGTTTTTGAGCTTGAGGCAATGACCCTTCACCACTTAGCCTTAGAACTGTAACTGGCATACTCGGCCTATCTCCCGGGTTATGCTGCACACATAAAAGACCTACATACATGAAATAATCTCACAACTTCATGTGGATCACCTGAGCCTCTAAATAGCTTTCAAAGCAAACAGAATTCTTTATTACCACAATCCACAGTATCACATAGAGATTCAAAATAGTCTTTAAAGTCAAAATAGCCATCTCGGACTATACATAATAAATATCACACAATGGTCAAAAACGACAAATAACACAAGCTCTCTAAAGAATTTGAAAATTCTAGACTGGTTTCCCCTATCATTAATTGGCTAAGTGCTTATGATTGAAGTGACTGTAATTGCATACCTTATAACACGTGCACATTGCAGTGGCATTTTAGGAGATCATTCCTCACGCAATTTGGAACTTCATGAATCTTTGCCCCAAATTTGAAGCACTTGAGTTCATTTGTTGAAAAAAAATGCTTTAAAAGAATTACCGACTTCAAGTTCATTGAGATCCCTTTCACTGTAACTGGCATGCTCAACCTATCTCCCGAGTTACCCTGCACACATAAAAGACCTACATGCATGAAATAATCTCACAACTTCATGTGTATCTCTTGAGTCCCCTATTGATGTATCAAGCACTTCAATGGACCAGCCTTCTGTGTAAAGCATCCATGCCTAAAAGAATTTATCAAAAGTTCAAAATAATTGTGCTTACTTAAAAGAAGAAACGAAAAAAAATGTCCTATGTTTCTCTTCCCACTCACTATCTTTAGCATCAACCCACCAAAACTATAGACATCGGATTTTAGAGAGTAGAACCCATCAATTTCGTATTTTGAGGACATGTAACTATTACAAATCAGTCAATCAAGAACTAAGTTCATAAGCAAATCAAGTATACTATATGTATGTATTGGTTCTTTTGTGATATATACTTACTATATTGCAACCACTTTCTTGGTTTTTAAGAGCACAAAATAATTCATAAAAATTAATTACTATTTGATAAGTAATTTATGAAACAAATAATAACTAAAAGCTAATTAGTAATTATATTAATTAAATAAGACAAAGATATTATTCAATTAAAAATATTAATTAATTAGCTATTAAAAAAAATTCTCCCTATGAAAATTAAAGTCCGAAAAATATTGCAACATAATAATTAACATTTATTAAGTAATATAATTTATGAATTTAATTAACGTATTTTACACTAATTTTTCACAAGAGAAATAATAATTAAAACATAATTACTAACAAAAGTAATTAAAATAAAGCAAAGATATTGTTTAATTACAAAAAATAAAATAAAATAACCTAAAGAAACTAATTTGATATTGCACACAAGCCGCCCAGGCCGCCTAGGCGGGCGCCTAGCGCCTAGGCGCCACCTAGCCCGATTTTTCGAAAATTTTCTTGTGATTCTCTGTGTTATCGGCTTGATCTTTCCTCTTCTGTTGCCTGCGTCAATTCTGGTCAAGCATGCAATTGAAAATTATCTTTGATGTTGTCTGCTGAAGAACAAATAGCATGCGAAGATCACCTGTTAGACCCTTTTGTTGAGAATTTCGTACGGGAAATCAAAGTCCACTTCGGGTAAGTCCTCAAAATAATCTTGTTCTGGTCTATTTCTTTGTTGTTTTGACAAGGAAAACTGTATCTTATTCAAAACAGAGAAAGAAAACCTACAAGAAAGATGGGCTAGAAAGAAAACAGAGAAAGAAAAACTATTTCTTTGTGCTTTTCGTCTTCAAAGATATCTTGTAGAAAACCATCAAAATCAGACCAACAATCATGACATGACATATGAAATCAGATTACATTCAGCCCAAAACTCTGTCCAATCAACATGAGTTACACTAAAGTAGTCTTTGAAATGCTTTAACAAACACGCCCCAAGAGAAGCTATTATAATATATATGTTAGTTTTGATACGTTAATACAATAATACTGTCATATTGTGTTGTAACTCGCAAGTTTGTGGGAGTCTTTTTTGTTGTGTGTGTGTGTGTGTGCAGGGGGCGGGGAGATGGAGGGGAATGAAATGGAAGAAGGCCAATGCATTATGCATCCAAGGGAGAATTATGCCCCAATATCCCGAAAATGGATTTCTCCAACCTTAAATTAGATATGCAAACTAATTTTGCACTCAATGTATTTCATATTTTTCTCATTTTGGGATTTGACATGCTTTTCTTCACATGTTGATGGTTTCACGTTTCTCTGTTCTATTTTATTATATGGTAGGATGCAGGATATTGAACTTATGCACATGTGGTATGCTCTAGATTTAGCTGTTCTTGCCGTTGGAGTGATGGAAAGGACTATGACTAGTGAAAGAAAAAGTTTTCATCAAGTTGCATTTGACCATTTGAAAGATCTACATAACCATTTGGAGGCTGTCAATGACATCCCTCACAAGGTAGTCTATTCTGAATATGGTTTTCTTTTAGCCTAACATTTTCAATCGTACCTCCTTTTTGTGGTTGTTAAAACTGTTATTTTCTCATGTTTATGCCAAATAAGTTCAACTTGCAATTACATGTCTAACATGTTTCCTCGAGTAAATCTGTTGCTTGTTATCTTTGAAAATTGTTTTGTGTAAAATATAGTCACCAAAAAATGCATGCAAAACAAATTATTTATCATTCATGTTCTGATGCTAGAGAATTAGTAACTGCTAAATGGATTGCTTTTTGGTATTTTGTTCAATTTTACTTTGAAGTTTCATGTTTTCCCTTGAAATCTGAATGCTCTCAATTTGTTTGTGATGTCACCATAGTTTGCTGCATCTTTTTTCCTGTTCTTCATTGTAATTATTTTTTAATGCTTCTGTAATGATGCAGATCATGATGGCGAATGTCATAAGTTCGCTTTTACATATCGATGATCTTTCTCTCAATTTGGCTCATTGTGCCTCACCATGGAGCTATTCTGAATCACATTACAGATGTGCTTCAGAACAAACTGATCTAACACGTGAAGAGGGAAACAAATTAGTTGTATCTTTCACAAGGAAACTACTAGATATATTACATCACTGTCTTCCTTCAACTATAAGTTTATAACTGAACTAGATCATGCTCTAAGTGATGACGTAAGTAGGGGTGGAAGACAAGCATTGGAGTGGAGAGCGTCAATTGCTAAACATTCGAAGAGTGGGAATGGCAGTTGTCAATTTTTGCAACATCTTCTTTAGTTATCTGAACGCCAGTGGCAGTGGAAAGAGGCATTAACTGTATTATGTCCCGCACCATCTAAGCTACTTAACCTGTGAGTTACAAGTCTTTTCTTCTTTGGGAATTTATATGATGATCAATTGGTTCTTGTGCAAGAACTGGTTTTGGATATTTGTTATAGATCACTGGTTTGCAAATGGTAGTTTATGACGTTTATGAACTATAACGATCACCCAGGCCAAACAAAATATGATTACCTCATTATTCCAAATGATAGAAATAGATGCTGATATTTGAAGATGATAGCACATAATCAGTTAATATGAAATTGCTGACATCTTACTTTCTGAAGGTAAATATTGTAGGTGTTCTTATTTATGAGAAATATACTTTAGTTTCTATGTAGTTTTATGCATAAATTATCTGGTTTTGGAGAACATGTTTTTCTGGAGAGCTATTAGGCGGATCCTTTTTTTATTTCATTTCATCTAATAAATAGTACAGCCGCACGGCTATACTGCGGTTTTTTTTATCATTTTTTTAAATAAATAGTATGGCCGGTCGGCTAGACGGTTAAATGTAATATATTTAAAGAGTATATACTTAAACTAAATACTGTAGGGTTTCTACTTTCTAATCAAGTTTCCAATGCTGCTAATTGTGATATTTTTTAAGGTGATAAACAGTTGCAGAAAATTTTATCAAATTAATACAATTATCTTCTAATTAGAGTCAAACTCTCCATATATAGTGCAGACTAAAAGAAACACACCCGTCACTGGTTCATCAGGTGTACTCAAGGTGAGCAGCCCTAGAATTCTTGTCCTTGTTGACTATAAGAACACTATCAATCTATTGGTAGTCTTTAATGAAAATGTCTTGTCCCTGTTAGTTGGAAAGGGTCAATTTCCCCTCTCATTCTCTCTGAGTTTCTAATTTTTTTTTGTTTGGCTTGGTTCCGGGAATTACACGGTAGTCTTTAACCCACCAATGAATTCTCCAGGTGTGGCTGCATCAAGGATAAAGCCTCCCATAAAGAAAGAAACATCAATGAAGCTTTTGAGAGCACTTAATTAACTTGATATATGTAAATATGTAAAACAGCAGCCATGACAAAACAGTGCATTCAGAACATCAACATAGGATGCAAAGGCGATCCCCACACATATTCTCAAGCAACATTTTTCTGATCAACTTCTAATACCAAACAATATATTAACTCTAATTCAAATCACAACATGAATTGTTGAAATCATGATAGAATACACATATGTAACATCTTAAAAGGAGAAGTTACCCACTTCCAAGGAGCATCTCGAGCAGGAAGATTCGAAGGCTTCAGACTGAGACTAGCAAAAATATTCACGAGATCTCTTTCTTCACTATCTGCAAGATTATGTTCAACAGCACAAGTGTTACTACATAAAGGAAGGAAGGTAGGTTCAATAAATGACAAGGCAACAAAATTACCAACCACAGTCACAACTGTGCTACAATTTCAATGTTGCGAATACTCTTAACTTGTTAGGAAAGAATCGGACACCCAAAAATAACAACTAAATATATTACCAATTTTATTAAACTTAAAAGAAGACTTAAAGTATAACCAATTCTGCAGTTCCAAAATAAATAAAATAATAATTTGTAAGTCATAACCTTTCCTGGACTGGAAATAGGTGATGGGTGCCTCATTGTTGAACTGTGCGTGGCTCCTTTACTATTTTGGACTCCATCTTCTTATAAGAAGACATCCGTTAATTGCTTCTACCCAATATGCTCATTTCCAGAAGCTACGGAAGTCTTTGTTTCTCCTATAACTGAGATAAGAAATCATAAGCATTGCACATATAGCATCCATTTACTATAGGAATAAAACGCTATCTTCACACTTTTAATAACACATCCAAAATATTTTGATAAAAAAAAAGCTGATTAGATACAAGTAGTCTGTCTCAACACTTTTACTAACCCAATTCTATTGCAGGAACTCTATAATAAGAGCACTTTATAATTTTTCTTTTTATAAGAAACACAAATTTAAGTTACAAACTTCCATTAAAATAAAGAAAGAGGATCGTGATGCAGAAGACACTGTTGATAATAATAGTGAAGATTATTTGTACCATTCCTTATACTCAGTTCTGATGATTTGACTTCAGTAGCAGGAAAAGTTGCATCTTCTAGATGGTCACTGGACTAGAACCATATTCCTTTGAATTCTGCTAACCACGAAGAGCCTTTGGTTCTGACGAAGACATAAGAGCAACCAATTGCACCACTAAGAGTATATCAAAAACCAAAAACTTTCACTATCTAGCATGTACACAATCATCCATATATACAAGGGGAGAATGGAGATGATGTGGCTTATAGAATCAAAGCATGATAGGTAAAATGGAGGGTTTTGTTAAGCATATATATAGTGTGATCATCCTATTTTGCTAGAATTGAAAGCTAAGTTTATAGAACAGCTGTTAGACCAGCCATGCTATATGGGACTGAATGCTGGACAGTTAGAAAACAGACATATTCATAGTTCCTGTAGGTACATATTAGCCAAATGTTACAACCAGCACAGTGATATGCACACGTCTATCTCTGTTTCTCTAAGTGCATATTGGCCATTATTAGACACAAATTGTTAAGAGATCAGATTAAAATATTTGTCATCTTTTGAATCCTTCAAAATTGGAAATGTTTGCTGAATAATCTTTGCTATGCTTCAAAATTGAAGGGTCATTGCCTCAACCTTAAAAGCCTGGTTTTTATAGTGAAAGGGATGTCAATGAACTCGAGGTCTATCCTTCTTCTAAAGCATTTTCAGCTAATGAAGTCACAGTCCTTTTACACTAATGGAGGCTCAATAAACAATATTTCATGTTGGTATGTTAATCTTGTGCTTTTGAAGTCAGTTTGAAAAGTTCAATATAATTAAGAGATTCCCAACCCATGCGTTAGCAAATGCACCCTCTAATTTTTTAATTTTTTTTTTTTCTTTGGAGTTGGGTGGAGTTCACACAACAGAAACACAGATGCTGATACAAGAACAAATATAAAAGCTTAAATGAATTAGATTTTTCACTTGAGGTGGTGTAATATTTCTTCTTTTTTTTCTGTTCTTTGGTGGGTTGGTTTTGGGTTCCTATGCAACAGGAGGAGGAGACAAATCTTTCTTCTTCTTTTTTTTCTCTCAGCAAACAAGAGGGCATGATCAATTGTCAAAATCTATAACAGAAATGCAATATCCAAAGAATGAAAAGCAGTCCAACCAAGAAGAAACTACAAATATTAGTGAATCAGCAAAACTTATGAATTTAGCAAATAAAGAACCTGAAGCCAGAAAAAACATACTTGTGTAATATGAAGAGCCTGCTCAAGCCGCTGAATTTGAATCCATTGTTCTGTAACAATGTCAGCCATCTGAAAGCAAAGAGAAAGAAGCCAATGGCAAAATGAACACCACACTAACAACATCACACACTCATAGCCATAGACCAAAGATGGATTGAGTACATCAGTGCATGACCTTTTGAGCCTGAGAGGCAACCGTTTCGAGTCTATCCTCGGCATCTTGGGCTTTAGACTCTAAAACATGAAGATCGAAGTTGTACTTTCTTGATGCCGCCCACAGAAGCCGTACCTAAAAAGCATTGCAAAGCCCATTTCTCAAATCCAACAAACCCTTTCTGCTACTTTTTCATTGAATTGAAAATTGCAAAAATTAAATTGAAAAAGATGTGACCCTCTTCTTCTAGAGCATGAAGCCTCTCATCAGTAGCCAATGAGTCTCTCTGTGACATACAAATGCAACCAAATATTATATATTTGCTTTCAATTTAGCATATACTTGAAAGCTGAAGATTTTAAGCTGAAACGGGAAACAAACCTTAAGAGTGAACAAAACATACTGCAAATGATGGATCTTCTGCAAATGATGTATCTGGGTTTAATAGAAGTATGGAACTTACTCAAGGAATGTGAGATGTTGTGCATGAAGAACTGCTCCTGCACGGCTTTTGCGAACTTGGATAACAGGGATGGAGGAAGTGGGTGCCTGCTGTGGCTTAGTGAGCTGATTGAGTACATCAGTGCATGACCTTTAGAGCCTGAGAGGCAACCGTTTCGAGTCTATCCTCGGCATCTTGTACTTTAGACTCTAAAAAATCGGCCTAGGCCGGCGGCTAGGCGGCTAGGCGGGCGCTAGGGGGCTGGGCGGGCCTCCTAGGCAGGTTGGGTCTTTTTTCGGAGCCGAACCCGGAGGATGAACCAGCCGAAACCGAAGAAAACAAATCGAAGCTTGAGTTGATAGAGAAGCGAAACTTCGACTGCAACGTCCGTCCTCTGCCGCTAGGCGGGCAGTAGGCGGCTAGGCGGCTAGGCGGGCCTCCTAGGCGGGTTGGGTCTTTTTTCGTTGCCGAACTCGGAGGACGAAGCAGCCGAAACCGAAGAAAACAAATCGAAGCTTGAGTTGATAGAGAAGCGAAACTTCGACTGCAACCTCCGTCCTCTGCGGCTAGGCGGGCGCTAGGCGGCTAGGCGGCTGGGCGGGGCTCCTAGGCGGGTTGGGTCTTTTTTCGTTGCCGAACCCGGAGGAAGAAGCAACCGAAACCGAAGAAAACAAGTCGAAGCTTGAGTTGATAGAGAAGCGAGACTTCGACTGCAACCTCCGTCCCCTGCGAGTGCAAGCTTCGTGTTCTTAAAATATTCGAATGTATATAGAAAGTATAGCCGACCGGCTATACGTTTAAAATTTTATAATATATTTGGCGAGTACAGCCGACCGGCTATACTCTTGAAATATACAATTTTGTAATATCATTTTAAGGTTTGGGGCTGAAATACCACTTTAGTCCATTGGACTAGAGCTATTTCTTCAATTATTTTATTGGTACAAACGATATTAGGGAATGAGAATTTAAATTCTTTCCAATACCTCACATTCTAATGATTTCCAGCTATTAGCCCATTGGGCAAGAATAAAAAAAAATGGATTTTATTTATAACAAACAACACGGGTTTAACCCATAAATTCAACAACAAAAAATAGGATGTCAATGAACTCGAGGTCAATCCTTCTTCTAAAGCATTTTCAGCTAATGAAGTCACAGTCCTTTTAGACTAAGAGAGGTTCGATAAACAATATTTCATGCTGGTGTGTTAATTTAGTGCTTTAGAAGTTAGTTTGAAAAGTTTAATACAATTAAGAGATTCCTAACCCATGCGTTGCATAATACAATTAAGAGATTCCTAACTCATGCGTTAGCAAATGCACCCTCTAAAGAAAACCTAGGTTTTATGCCTAACTATTTCCCGTGTTGTATATCAACTAGCCTCTCCACATGCGCTTCCGCGTCTGCGTGAGGTTTTTTTTTAAAAAAAAATATATATATATTTTAGAATTATAAAAGATAATGGGTAGTTGTGTTCCATAAAAATAGAATCTTTCATCTGCTTTTTCTTTTAATTTTTTTTTATGTGCAAAAGAGTGAATTTACCATATTATCCTCATTTAATTAATAATTTCAATTCTTAATGTTTGCATTAACCAAGGGTATTTTATGATATTTTGAATGTTTTACCATTATCTACCTTTTGCTTTATATATATATATAGATTATGGTACTTTATCATTTATATGTTCTTTTATTTTTGCATTTTTATGTATAAATTTATAATTTATAATACAAAATAATTATAAATAAATAAAATGCCTAGTCGATTACTCCTCTAGGCGCTAGGCTCGTGCTTGCTATGTAGCTATTTTTAGAACATTGGTCAATCGACGCAATCTTCAATTAGTTACAACTTACAACATCGTCAAGTATACAGAAACGACATGTCGACGACTTTCGTATGGAATCCAATAGAAATGTATTCTAATAATAAACAAGACTAAGATATTATTCAATTAAAAATATAACTTAATTAGCTATTCCAAAATAAAAAATAAATTATCCCTATGAAAATTAAAGTCCGCAAAATATTACAACGTAATAATTAATATTTATTAAGTAATATAATTTATGAATTTAATTAACATATTTAATACTAATTGTTCACTAGAGAAAATAATAATTAAAACATAATTACTAAAAAAGTAATTAAAATAAAGCAAAGATATTGTTTAATTACAAAAAAGAAAAGAAAATAACCTAAAGAAACTAATTTGATATTGCACACAGCCGCCCAGACCGCCTAGGCGGGCGCCTAGCGCCTAGGTGCCGCCTAGCCCCATTTTTTGAAAATTTCATTGTGATTCTTTGTGTTATCGGCTTGATCTTTCCTCTTCTGTTGCCTGCGTCAGTTCTGGTCAAGCATGCAATTGAAAATTATCGTTGATGTTGTCTGCTAAAAAACAAATAGCATGCGAAGGTCACCTGTTAGACCCTTTTGTTGAGAATTTCGTACTCGAAATCAAAGTCCACTTCGGGTAAGTCCTCAAAATAATCTTGTTCTGGTCTATTTCTTTGTTGTTTTGACAAGGAAAACTGTATCTTATTCAAAACAGAGAAAGAAAACCTACAAGAAAGATGGGCTAGAAAGAAAACAGAGAAAGGAAAACTATTTCTTTGTGCTTTTCGTCTTCAAAGATATCTTGTAGAAAACCATCAAAATCAGACCAACAATCATGACATGACATATGAAATCAGATTACATTCAGCCCAAAACTCTGTCCAATCAACATGAGTTACACTAAAGTAGTCTTTGAAATGCTTTAACAAACACGCCCCAAGAGAAGCTATTATAATATTTCTGTTGATATAATAATACTGTCATATTGTGTTGTAACTCGCAAGTTTGTGGGAGTCTTTTTTGTTGTGTGTGTGTGTGTGTGTGTGTGTGTGTGTGTGTGTGTGCAGGGGCGGGGGAGGTGGAGGGGAATGAAATGGAAGAAGGCCAATGCATTATGCATCCAAGGGAGAATTATGCCCCAATATCCCGAAAATGGATTTCTCCAACCCTTAAATTGGATCTACAAACGAATTTTGCACTCAATTTATTTATTATTTTTGTCATTTTGGGATTTGACATGCTTTTCTTCACATGTTGATGGTTTCGCATTTCTCTGTTCTATTTTATTATATGGTAGGATGCAGGATATTGAACTTATGCACATGTGGTATGCTCTAGATTTAGCTGTTCTTGCCGTTGGAGTGATGGAAAGGACTATGACTGGTGAAAGAAAAAGTTTTCATCAAGTTGCATTTGACCATTTGAAAGATCTACAGAACCATTTGGAGGCTGTCAATGACATCCCTCGCAAGGTAGTATATTCTGAATATGGTTTCTTTTAGCCTAACATTTTCAATCGTACCTCCTTTTTGTGGTGGTTAAAACTGTTATTTTCTCATGTTTATGCCACATAAGTTCAACTTGCAATTACATGTCTAACATGTTTCCTCGAGCAAATCTGTTGCTTGTTGTCTTTGAAAGTTGTTTTGTGTAAAATATAGTCACCAAAAAATGCATGCAAAACAAATTATTTATCATTCATGTTCTGATGCTAGAGAATTAGCAATTGCTAAATGGATTGCTTTTTGGTATTTTGTTCAATTTTACTTTGAAGTTTCATGTTTTCCTTTGAAATCTAAATGCTCTCAATTTGTTTGTGATGTCATCAGTTTTATTAGTTTGCTGCATCTTTTTTCCTGTTCTTCATTTTAATTATTTTATAATGCTTTTGTAATGATGCGGATCATGATGGTGAATGTCATAAGTTCGCTTTTACATACGGATGATCTTTCTCTCAATTTGGCTCATTATGCCTCACCATGGAGCTACATTACACATGTGCTTCAGAGCAAACTGATCTAACACGTGAAGAGGGAAACAAATTAGTTGTATCTTTCGAGGAAACTACTAGATATATTACATCACTGTCTTCCTTCAACTATAAGTTTATAACTGAACTAGATCATGCTTTAAGTGATGGCGTAAGTAGGGTTGGAAGACAAGCATTGGAGTGGAGAGCGTCGACCTTACCTTATAAAGCAAGCAGCCCCGACCTCCGCACGGAGTATAACCGTGATGCGGCTACGGCGGCTAAAAAATAAATTAAAATAATCGGCCAACTAGGTGCTATTAGGCGGGTCCTTTTTTTATTTAATTTAATTTAATAAATAGTATAGCCGAATGGCTATACTGTGGTATTTTTAAATTTTTTTTAAATAAATAGTATGGCCGTGCGGCTAGACGGTTAAACTTAAATATAATATATTTAAAGAGTATTTTTATAAAAAAATTTCCCATATTTTCCTTTAGAGCATTATCCATTACTATTAGGCCATTACTCGAGTCTCTATAGTCCCCTTTTGATTTTTTACATTTCCAGAGTTATTACCCGTATAAAGAATTTAGCAATTTCCCGTTTAATACTTGTATTATACATACGTGTTTTTCAATAATACTTCCGTTTTCTGTACACATCTTAAAGACTCGGTAAAATACACATGTAGCACTCGAGAGAATGTGTCCAAGGCAGACGTTCGCACGAAAAAGAAAAAAAAAGAAGAAGAAATAATTGAACTCTCAGATTGATTTATTGTGAAATTTCCATTTTTCAATATCTACATTGGATATGTTGAAACTAGCAAATTAATAAGTATAAACTAATGGGAGTAGGCCACATAATTTCAAAATTTCTAGGGCATCCTTCTTTGCAAACTCAACAACTAGAAAGCTTACGTTTTGCTTCCAACGTAACCTCTCTTTGTTAACTGTCTTTCCCGAGCAGAAGGGTACTTGCAATACACTTATAGTGGGAATTCAAATCATGTCATTCTCCTATGAGAAATTCATCCTATTTATCTGTCCTTGAAACTTTAGTAATTTGCCTCCCCACTATTCAACTTTAGTATTGATGCTTACTAATTGTCTTCCCAGCTACTCAACTTAAACTAAATATTGTAGGGTTTCTACCCTCTAATCAAGTTTCCAATGCTGCTAATTGTGAGATTTTTTAAGGTGACAGACAGTTACAGAAAATTTTACCAAATTAATACAATTTTCTTCTAATTAGAGTCAAACTCTCCATATATAGTGCAGACTAAAAGAAACACACCCCTCACTGGTTCATCAGGTGTACTCAAGGTGAGCAGCCCTGGAATTCTTGTCCTTGTTGACCATAAGAACACTATCAATCTATTGGTAGTCTTTAATGAAAATGTATTGTTCCTGTTAGTTGGAAAGAGTCAATTTCCCCTCTCATTATCTCTGAGTTTCTTATTTTTTTGTTTGGCTTGGTTCCTGACATTACATGGTAGTCTTTAACCCACCAATGAATTCTCCAAATGTGGCTGCATCAAGGATGAAGCCTCCCCTAAAGAAAGAAAAATCAATGAAGCTTTTGAGAGCACCTAATTAACTTGATATATGTAAATATTGAAAACAGCAGCCATGACAAAACAGTGCATTCAGAACATCAACATAGGATGCAAAAGCAATCCCACAGGAAGATTTAAGTTGGAAAAAACAAACCACACATATTCTCAAGCAACATTTTTCTGATCAACTTCTAATACCAAACAATATATTAACTCTAATTCAAATCACAACATGAGTTGTTGAAATCATGATAGAATACACATATGTAACATCTTAAAAGGAGAAGTTACCCACTTCCAAGGAGCATCTCGAGCAGGAAGATTCGAAGGCTTTAGACTGAGACTAGCAAAAATATTCACGAGATCTCTTTCTTCACTATCTGCACATGATTATGTTCAACAGCACAAGTGTTACCACATAAAGGAAGGAAGGTAGGTTCAATAAATGACAAGGCAACAAAATTGCCAACCACAGTCACAACTGTGCTACAATTTCAATGTTAAGAAGATATATACTCTTAACTTGTTAGGAAAGAATTGGACACCCAAAAATAACACCTAAATATATTGCCAATTTTATTAAACTTAAAAGAAGACTTAAAGTATAACCAATTCTGCAGTTTCAAAATAAATAAAATAATAATTTGTAAGTCATATCCCTTGCCTGGACTGGAAATAGGTGATGGGTGCCTCATTGTTGAACTATTTTGGACTCCATCTTCTTATAAAAAGACATCCGTTAATTGCTTCTCCCCAATATGCTCATTTCCAGAAGCTACGGAAGTCTTTGTTTCTCTTATAACTGAGATAAGAAATCATAAGCATTGCACATATAGCATCCATTTACCATAGGAATAAAATGCTATCTTCACACTTCTAATAACACATCCAAAATATTCTGAACAAAAAAAAGCTGAGTAGATACAAGAAGTCTGTCTCAACACTTTCAATAGGGGCCTTTGGTTCTGACGAACACATAAGAGCAACCAATTGCACCACTAAGAGTATATCAAAAACCAAAAACTTTCACTATCTAGCATGTACTCAATCATCCATATATACAAGGGGAGAATGGAGATTATGTGGCTCATAGAATCAAAGCACGACAGGTAAAATGAAGGGTTTTGTTAAGCATATATATAGTGTGATCATCATATTCTGCTAGAATTGAAAGCTAAGTTTATAGAACATCTGTTAGACCAGCCATGCTATATGGGATTGAATGCTGGACAGTTGGAAAACAGACATATTCATAGTTCCTGTAGGTACATATTAGCCAAATGTTACAACCAGCACAGTGATATGCACACCTCTATCTCTGTTTCTCTAACGGCATATTAGCCATTATTAGACACAAATTGTTAAGAGATCAGATTAAAATATTTGTCACCTTTTGAATCCTTCAAAATTGGAGATGTTTGCTGAATAATCTTTGCTATGCTTCAAAATTGAAGGGTCATTGCCTAACCTTAAAAACCTGGTTTTTATAGTGAAAGGGATGTCAATGAACTCGAGGTCTATCCTTCTTCTAAAGCATTTTCAGCTAATGAAGTCACAGTCCTTTTACACTAATGGAGGCTCGATAAACGAAATTTCATGTTGGTATGTTAATCTGGTGCTTTTGAAGTCAGTTTGAAAAGTTAAATATAATTAAGAGATTCCCAACCCATGTGTTAGCAAATGCACCCTCTAATTTTTTTTATTTTTTTTCTTTGGAGTTGAGGTGGAGTTCACACAACAGAAACACAGATGCTGATACAAGAACAAATATAAAAGCTTAAATGAATTAGATTTTTCACTTGAGGTGGTGTAATATTTCTTCTTTTTTTTCTTTTTTTTTCTGTCCTTTGGTGCGTTGGGTTTGGGTTCCTATGCAACAGGAGGAGGAGCCAAATCTTTCTTCTTTTTTCTTTTTTCTCTCAGCAGACAAGAGGGCATGATCGAATGTCAAAATCTATAACAGAAATGCAATATCCAAAGAATGAAAAGCAGTCCAACCAAGAAGAAACTAGCAAATATTAGTGAATCAACAAAACTTACGAATTTAGCAAATAAAGAACCTGAAGCCAGTTTCAAGCAGAAAAAACTTACTTGTGTACTATGAAGAGCCTGCTCAAGCCGCTGAATTTGAATCCATTGTTTTGTAACAATGTCAGCCATCTGAAAGCAAAGAGAAAGAAGCCAATGGCAAAATGAACACCACACTAACAACATCACACACTCATAGCCATAGAACAAAGATGGATTGAGTACATCAGTGCATGACCTTTAGAGCCTGAGAGGCAACCGTTTCGAGTCTATCCTCGGCATCTTGTGCTTTAGACTCTAAAAAATCGGCCTAGGCCGGCGGCTAGGCGGCTAGGCGGGCGCTAGGGGGCTGGGCGGGCCTCCTAGGCAAGTTGGGTCTTTTTTCGGAGCCGAACCCGGAGGACGAAGCAGCCAAAACCGAAGAAAACAAATCGAAGCTTGAGTTGATAGAGAAGCGAAACTTCGACTGCAACGTCCGTCCTCTGCCGCTAGGCGGGCACTAGGCGGCTAGGCGGCTAGGCGGGCCTCCTAGGCGGGTTGGGTCTTTTTTCGTTGCCGAACTCGGAGGACGAAGCAGCCGAAACCGAATAAAACAAATCGAAGCTTGAGTTGATAGAGAAGCGAAACTTCGACTGCAACCTCCGTCCTCTGCGGCTAGGCGGGCGCTAGGCGGCTAGGCGGCTGGGCGGGGCTCCTAGGCGGGTTGGGTCTTTTTTCGTTGCCGAACCCGGAGGAAGAAGCAACCGAAACCGAAGAAAACAAATCGAAGCTTGAGTTGATAGAGAAGCGAGACTTCGACTGCAACCTCCGTCCTCTGCGAGTGCAAGCTTCGTGTTCGTTTGGAATATATATTAAAAGAGTATAGCCGTGCGGCTATACTCTTAAAATATTCGAATATATTAACATTTATAATTTTAAAATATTCGAATGTATATAGAAAGTATAGCCGACCGGCTATACGTTTAAAATTTTATAATTTATTTGGCGAGTATAGCCGATCGGCTATACTCTTGAAATATACAATTTTGTAATATCATTTTAAGGTTTGGGGCTGAAATACCACTTTAGTCCATTGGACTAGAGCTATTTCTTCAATTATTTTATTGGTACAAACGATATTAGGGAATGAGGATTTAAATTGTTTCCAGTACCTCACATTCTAATGATTTCCAGCTATTAGTCCATTGGGCAAGAATAAAAAAATGGATTTTATTTATAACAAACAACACAGGTTTAACCCATAAATTCAACAACAAAAAATAGGATGTCAATGAACTCGAGGTCAATCCTTCTTCTAAAGCATTTTCAGCTAATGAAGTCACAGTCCTTTTAGACTAAGGGAGGCTCGATAAACAATATTTCATGCTGGTGTGTTAATCTAGAGCTTTTGAAGTCAGTTTGAAAAGTTAAATACAATTAAGAGATTCCCAACCCATGCGTTAGCAAATGCACCCTCTAAAGAAAACCTAGGTTTTATGCCTAACTATTTCCCACTGCGCGAGGCTTTTTTTTTTAAAAAAAAATTATTTTAGAATTATAAAAGATAATGGGTACTGTGTTCCATAAAAATAGAATCTTTCATTTGATTTTTCTTTTAATTTTTTTCGATGTGAAAAAGAGTGAATTTACCATATTATCCTCATTTAATTAATAATTTCAGTTCTTAATGTTTGCATTAACCAAGGGTATTTTATGATATTTTGAATGTTTTACCATTCTCTACCTTTTGCTTTATATATATATATATATATATAGATTATGGTCCTTTATCATTTATATGTTCTTTTATTTTTGCATTTTTATGTATAAATTTATAATTTATAATACAAAATAATTATAAATAAATAAAATGCCTAGTCGATTACTCCTCTAGGCGCTAGGCCCATGCCTGCCGTGTAGCTATTTTTAGAACATTGGTCAATCGACGCAATCTTCAATTAGTTACAACTTACAACATCATCGAGTGTACAGAAACGACATGTCGACGACTTTCGTATGGAATCCAATAGAAATGTATTCTAATAATAAACACGACAAGTAATTTACTTTAAAATTACTTTGTCTTATTTTATTTTTTTGGTTTGAAAAGATGTTTGAAAGGTTAAGCTCAATTCTTTTTCTTTTACTTATATAATATGTTTGATAAGTTAAATTTCTAATAACAATAGTATTCAAACGTAATAAAAATATAAAGTTAATACCTTGGTCCTTATTTAGAAAACAAAATTAATAAATACATTGCTGCGAGATTATTTGAATTTTATGAAATGCCAACAATAAGAAAAAAAAAAAAAAAAAAAAAAAAAAAAAAATAGAATTATTAATTTAATTATTATAATCATTTTTTCTCTTGGGTTGAAAGTAAGATTAGTGTTCTTCTAACTGAAGGCATCCCCAAAGCACCACGTTACATCCGTTGGCCGTTTATGCAAAACTGAATAAATTGTAAACGTGAAATTTACAGCTTAAAGTCTTCACTTGAGGCTATAGGTATACAGCCTATAGTTATTACACTTTGAATTGATACAGAACTATATATGTATAGGGGGTGGATCCATGGCACTATATTTTTGACACAAGTCCTAACTCATGTGGATGGGCGACCATGCCCTCTAAGAAACTGAAGACGGAACAAGGGCCATAAATCAGCTGTATTTTTTTCGCTGCTCTGTTTTGGTTTATGTCTTCTGCTGTTCTGGTTTTGTTTCTTAAAATGAAAAAGGTTTGTTAAAAATAAAAATAAAATTGAATTAACTGTAATTAGTTTTGTTTAATTTGCCTTTTCTATTCTATCCGGAAAGAGTCACGGTGCATAGGCAAAGGGTGATAGATCACAGCTTGAGACGTTGTAGTGTGGCGAGCTACTTAGGTTCATTATGTTTAAGATCCTATTGATTGATGAAATTTCCAGCTGATTTTATATTTTTGTTGAAGCTCTAAATGGAACTTGATTTTCAGTAGCTCATCTGTTGCAATTTCACCTTGCTTAAATTGTTCTCTTGCCAACTGCAGGGTTTCCAACTTTTGATACAAGACCTTGCTGATGCAACCGGAGAAGGAAATTTCCGAGCATCAGAAACAAAGGTTAGTTGACTTGCACTAAGAGAATAGAAAAGGTTTCATCCAATTCGTGCTAACTAATCTCATTGCTGTATTGTAAAGAAGCTTTCATTCAATTCATGGTTATGAGCTTTGACTGATTGTTTAGTTTCTGGTAGTTTTATGCCATAGAATCACTTAACCTACTTTTCCTGCTTCATTAGATAAGCGAAATTTCCCCATATTTTTTTTGTCTTACTTGATCTTCTTTTGTTGCAAACCTTAGGAAATGAGTTATCGTTTCAATACTTAGTTAATGTTTTTAAATGAGATTTTCGAACACACAACAGTGTCTATGAAGTTAAATTGATATCTAAGTATATGTTGATTTATGCCTCTTAACTTTCTGTAAGTTTTAATTTGCTCGTTCTTGTGTGCAGATACCATGAACTGGGTAGTTCTGAGAGGGTCTTTACTCAACATGCTTCTGGTATCCCCTTCTCTGTCAAACCATGAATACTTAAGAGCCTGTTTTCCACTGGTTATTAAGTGATTTTTATACCACGACTCTTGCCCTCAAATTGAAGTTACCTTTTGAAGGTGTGGAGAAAAGTAAAATACTAAAGGTTGATGAAGGATTGCTTTTGACCATTATGTGTAAACTGTATCAAACCTATGCTGGATGCACCGATTAACTGATATGTTCGAAGAATTCTGCGGCACAACCAGCTGAAGATTTTGATACTGCTGATTTAATTTCTTTACTTGAGGTAGGAGAGCATACCTGCAAGCCATGCAGGAGTTTCTAATAATGGTAAGCCCCTTAGCAATGTTTTAATATTTGTAGATTCAGTTTATGCACTGGCACTGATTTCGGTCACATAATGGAGCTCGATGTGTCCAAGACGAGTGCAGATATGCAAGGTTCTACTACCAAGCTGATGGTGTCAGGTATTTCTCTCTCTCTCTCTCTCTCTCTCTCTCTCTCTCTCTCTCATGTACCATATTCTATTTGTCGAAAATACATGCACTTTTTGGATTTGGTGCAGAACTCCTGTGGACCTGTGGTGGAGATAATTCTGGACGAACTATCTTACAATAGAGATATTCTTTCCCCTTTTCTTCAGGTTCATACCTTCTTTTAATCCCTATCCCTCTTTCGCTTGTGGTTTGCCATGTTTCTGTATCCCTCATAATCTGTGGCACAGTTGCCGGCCACTTCACACGGAACAAGTTTATTGGGTTCATATGCACGCATGATTAGCAATTTCTTTGAGTTTGTTAGGGTCTCATGTTATATTAATTTCTAATGCTTCATTCGTAATGTGTAAGAATTATAAAATTGACTATTTATGATAAGCTGGTCACTAGGTCTTCTGCCAGTTTTTTATGAGGTTGCATTGCATGTTTCCAATGAACCTAAACGGGGAGCTTGAGGTAGTTGTCCTGAATGCTTTTTGTATTTGGTGTTATCCGTTGTCTGTTTATATTTTCTTGAGGGGATTTTGATCTCGTAATGAATGTAGTTGAAGCACGCTTATGCCTCATTGATTATATCATCATTTAGTTTATTATATTCTGCTTGTGTAGCCTTCTGTTCACACTAGATGCGTGCTTATTCGAATATATCTGTAGAATTTGTAAATATTTAAAGCGTACAGCCGCGCGGCTATACCGTTTTTAATATATATATTTTTAAGGCGTATAGCCGTGCGGCTGTAGGTTTTTATATTTTTTTGTTTTTTTATTTTTAAATAGTATAGCCGAGCGGCTGTACCCTTTATAAAATTGTTTCTTTAGATAGTATAGCCGAGCGGCTATACTTGTTTTTAATACTCAGTGATACCTTTGCAGAACTAGGAAGGAAATTAAGCATAATAGAATTTCGACCCCCGAAAAAAGAACCACATAACAGAATTGTACCGTCGGGCTCAAATGCTTGGGCTGCTAAAACAAGTCCATATAGCGGGGTGGCCCTGGACTCAAATCATATTTGGGGCAACAATGTGGGGAGAGGCTACAACGTGTAGGAAAAACCATTTCGCTCACAATAATCTCTAGTTACATTTAATTATAATGGAGATATGGAAATTGAAAATAAATTTCTTTGTTATTACTCGTCTTCATTGTGGAAATTGTTTCTACAAATATCGTTGTTATAACTATCATGAGCAAGAATAGCACCATCACAAGTTCATGAGCAAAATTAGCACTAAATGTACGTGAAATGTTCGGACTATTTAAATACCTCTTATATAGGCAACATGAGTTAGACTAGTTGATTAAGGCCGTGAACTCGTCTTGTTTTATCCGAGTTCGAATCCCCCTCCTCTTAAATCAAAATTAGATTAATTTAGAGTCATTTAGAGTTCGGTTGTATAAAAAGAAACCCGCTTAAATAGACTATATTGACTCCATAGTCTATATATATCAACAACATATGGATACCACTCAGATGCAAACATGCTAAAGTGTAAGCAAACAATGTCTAAAATGGTATTATTTCTAGAGTTCAACGCGCATTGAACACGAACAAGACAATCCTCGGGAATGCCAATACTCCATATAGCTGTAATAATCATCCCACCCCTAGCATCTAAGTTAAGTTCTAACATGAAAAAAAGAGAAAGAAAAAAAAAAGAATTTGGAATCCTAAGCCACCAAGGTATCCCTCTAAATTAAAGATTATTGTTGAAGGAGAATGAACCTCGTTAATTCAAAATATTAAACAATACCTAACAGTGTTATTCTTAGGTTTAACTATTTTAGGGAATATTTTGGAAAGCTAGTTGTCCGTTGCATTTCCACGTGCACCCTCTGCCTAATTTTACACCCAAAATTAAAATTGTTTGATGGAGAGCCGGTGAATTCGCAGAATGCAGCCATTTCTTTCTTGTCTCTTTTTTCTTTCTCCAGTCCCTTTGTTTTGTTGCATGATATAACAACAACCAATCACAATTATAAACACATGAAAAAAACCCTAAACACCAACTATAAATTGATCAATCCTTGCCCATTAAATCAGTACGTGAGCTGGGTTCAAAATGTCGTGAGACAGTTCGGTCCATATCCGGTCTGAAGTGTTTGCGGTGCTAATTGACTTGAAATTAAATTAAATTAAAGAATTTTCTCTCTTAATCAGACCCTCCTCCACCTAATTAAGAGCATATGGGTAAGTTCCAAATGGGACACACCTCCCAAAATTAGTAGACAAACATGACTACAATTAGGTGTTTTTGAGTCATTCAATACATAACAAAATAATTTTTTGAGTAATTCGATGAATTTTAAAAATCATAAAATAGACAGACCAAGTATATATATATCCTTAACCCTGAGAAAAGTATGTGTATTTATATATAAAAACAAAAACTGAAAAAGAGGAAGGAAAAAAAAGGACACACCAAGTATGCATAAATACAAGCAAAGGACCTGTAGGTCATATGACATAGCTTTTTAACCGAGGTAGTGCGATTGTGCCTACAGCTAAAAGAGACAAAACAACCCAATGTTCATCATATATTTTCTCTGTGTTATAAATTAATATGCAGAAAGTAGTACTATTTTCTTGTTTCTGCATTAGAAGAAAACCTGTACAATCTGGGCGCTCCTCCTAATTAAGCTTTGCTTTCTTCTTTTAATTCTGTTGTTAATCCTGATTTAGTTCATGATTAATTAAAACAGGAGGGTTCAACCAGATGCTATTTTCCAATGATATTCTTGAATAATGTTATGTCTTTTTTTTTCCTTTTTGGGGCAAGGAAAGCTTTTCCCTGTGGCAGAAAGAATGGAACCCATCAATGAATATGGAACCTGATCAATACCTATGGAACAAACTTCATCATAGTTCCAAAGTTTGAAATTGTCAGAGAAAGGATGATTTTTTTTTTTTTTTTTTTTTTTTTTTTAAAGATTTTGATCAGACACAAGTAGTCTCTTTACATTTGTAGGTGAGAATTGATCCATATTATTGTTGCTATATGTAACAAATAGGATTATAAAACAAATCAAGAAAATACAAAACTGCAATGTACTTGATAACTGATTACTAATAAAAATTCACTTGAACGATAAACAATTTAATAAATATCAATATTTTTTCTTGCCAACAATTATATTATACTCTGCATTCAAGTTTGAATCTCCTTACCCGTAGTTTAGATTAGATTAAAATAGAATATCGTTTGTATACTATACAAATACGGGTTGATTTTGTATTGTGGAAAATTTGCAGCTCTATAATATGAAGCTTAACCTAAGTTTGACCTGATTAATAAACACTGTTTTGGTAAATGTTGTGATCAAAATTGAGCGTAGTTGTTTCGACAAGTCAGTCAAAATACGAAGCAAAAGGGGTTAAATGGGGCGCTCAGATCACAGTAGAAAAAGGAATTGTGTAGTATGCAGCGCAGAGAAAGTACACATTTGTGGGCTGTCTTCCCGCCATTAACTCCACTCCCCCATCCTACACCACACCACACCACACCACATCCTCCTCACCTCACCTCACAAACCAATCCATCACTCTCTCTCTCTCTCTCTCTCTCTCTCTAAAAAGATTTTCTTTTTCTGGGTTTTCTTCATTTTTTTCTTGATTATTATAAATAAAACTCTCTCTCTCTTCTCTCTCTCTCTCTCTCTCTGTGTTTCTCTGTCTTAAAAACGACAACAATTCTGGAACCTCCCCTGCTATAAAAGAGCAAGTTTGGTTAGGGTTTTAGAAACCCACTTGGGAAAAAAATAAAAGAGAGAGAAGAATTTAAAGAAAAAAAAAAGGTAGATCAACATCAATTGGGTAGCTATATACCATATAGTATAGCTGATTAAAGTTCCTCTCTTTCTATCATCCCACTTCTCCTCTTCAGAGAAAACAGACATATATTTCATATTCTTGGAGAAAGAGAGAGAAATTAAAGATAGAAAAGATGGTGAGAGAGGCATATGCATATGGTTCAACAACTGCAGCTAGTGATATGGAAATGAGTGGAGGTGGCGGTGATGGGGGTGTGATGAGTAATATGAAGCCTGCATGGCTGGAGGGTTTGATGGCTGAGACATTCTTTGGTGGATGTGGGGTCCACGAGAACCGCAGGAAGAACGAGAAGAACGTTTTCTGTTTGCACTGTTGCCTTAGTATTTGCCCCCACTGCCTCCATTCTCACCGTTCTCACCCTCTCCTCCAGGTACTTTTTCTACTATTCTCACCCACTGCCACTGCAGATTCTGATGCTATCACTCACCAAATTTGCTCACCAAGCCCACCACACTGCGACTGTGCACACACCATCCATCCATCACCAACCCCTTGCACACAGCTACCTTGTTTTCCTCAAAATTTTTGTTTCTACCCTTTTGAATTTTCATCATTTTTGGACCAAAGTTTCTTTCTTTCATTGGCTTCTAGCTTGTTTGAGCTTTCCTTTTCAGTTTTTAAGCTTGTCACCCTCAATCCTTGGTGTTTTTGGATTTTTATTTTTATTTTTTTTTTATGGAATTTTCTGGTTATTCGGAATCCTGTTGAAATTTTTACTGTAGAATTCTGTCTGCTACAGTGAATTCAGGTGCAGCTATGTACCATGGCTTCAATTTTTGTTATTTATCTGTACAATTTTCTCAATTTCCTCTCACATGTACCTTGGAATTTTGTTTAACTTTTTTCTTTATATGGGTTTGGTTTTTCTTTGGTTCTTTGCACAATTAAGAAATTCTTCCAGTGAAGAGCTCATTGCTTATGAATTTTACCCATTATTTTCCTTTTAAAGGTGTACCTTTCTTAATCTCTAAGAATTGGATGATTTATGATCCTCCTAATTTCTGTCTTAGTCTCTTAGTGTTTTGTGTTTCTCTATGGAAACTATTGTCTTAAAACAACCTCTTGCTGAAATGTTGTAATTCATTGTTCAGAAGCAATTCTAGCCTTTTCCCAATTTTTGGTTAATTTCTCCCTTTGATTTTTTTTTCCCTTCTCTTTTAAAAACATAATAATGATCTTGATTCTGGCCACATAAACGAAAAAGAAAATAAGAGAAGATAATTCTTGTTGAATGTTTGAATCTCGTCAAAATTGTCTTATTCATGCAATTGTATTTTATTTTATATATATATGTATATGGTATGCCAAAAAGGTTTGATGATGCCTTCTTTGAGTCCCACTTTTTAGATTTGGTTTGTTTCCTATTAATAGAAGATTTCTTTTTCATCCATTTCCACCCTGCAAAGGTTCCCCAGCTGTTGCTTTCAATGAAAGCGAAACTTTGACCACATTTTTCCAATCTTTTTTTCTAGTGTTTCATTCCCAAAGGATCCCACTCCTTTAATTCAATTCAATTCAGCTCAGTTCATTTATTTTTCCTTCATGAGAGAGAAGTTGGTTGCCTACCCATTTCACCTAAATTTCCAAATCCAAGCGGTTATTGCCGGGTGAGGTAATAAGTTGTTTTTCAACAAGTTACAATTTTTTTTTAAGGACATTTCCTATTGAGAGGGGCGATAGCACACTACACTCACACACACTATACGGATGCTAGGACTTGAATCCAAGACCTTTTCCGGAGGAGCATTTGCTCCAAACCACTACACTAGTGAATCCTTTGCTCAAAAAGTTACTATATGTATGTGGGAAGGAAGATTTTTTAACTTAGAAGTTGCAAAACATGTGTTGGATTATGGTGATAAACTTAATTACTTTGTATCATACATTGCAGAAAAATTACCTCAAGTAAAATTGTTAATGTTAAGGGTAATTTAATTGTAGGGTAAATCAACATTTGTTGTGGCTATAAACAAGTCCAATTGAGGTTTTTTTTTTGGCTCCATGTGACAGGTTAGGCGATATGTATACCATGATGTGGTTCGATTGGGTGATCTTGAAAAGCTCATTGACTGTTCCTATATTCAGGTATTCAATTTTGACTTAAAATAAAACAAAACCAAATTAAAGAAAAGAAAAATACTTAAATCTTTTCTGTGTTTTTTTGTTTGAGTTTGATGATGATGATGGTGGTGAAAGAACTGAGAGCATAGGGTTTTTCAATTCTGTTAACAACTGTGTTCCTTATTTGGTGGCAGCCCTATACAATCAACGGTGCCAAAGTGATATTCTTGAATCAGAGGCCCCAGTCTAGGACTTGCAAGCAGGGCTCTGCCAATATCTGCCTCACTTGTGACAGGATTCTTCAAGAGCCTTTCCACTTTTGTTCTCTCTCATGCAAGGTCCATTTCATTTCATCATGTCTCTCTACCCTTTCGGTCTCTCATTGTCCAATTGCCTGTTTGAATGAAGGGTTTTTACTTATTTTCTGACACACCAGCCAATATTTTTCAACTTCATTTGCAATCTTGGAAGCATCTTTGCTTTTTGGCTTAAAGATAAAAGAAAGAAAAAAGTCCCATTCCATATACACTTATTCAGTTTATGTAGAAGACAAAAACTGTGTTTTAATGCTCATACTGCTTGTTTTTTTTCTCTGCGCCTCAGACTTTCAAACTTTGCTATTAGAATCTTTGCTGCCAAACTAGGCCTTGATATATACATTAGCCATGCTCTTGTTTTTTTCTTTTGGAAGAAGTCTTACGTTCAGATCTCCCCTCTCCCGTTGATAAAAAAAAACTAATGTGACAGACATGTAACAAATCTATACGTGGCAGGTTGATCACCTGGTGTACCAAGGGGAAGATTTATCTGGCATACTCTACCGATTTGATGAGTCCGACTTCACAATTTCTCAATTTGAGGGTTTACGCATGGATGGTTCGGAGGTGATCGATGATGATGGCCACATGATTCCTAGCTCCATCATAGAGGACCCTTTGCAATATAGAGCTTCATCATGCTCCAATGAGGCCACAAGTGATTCAGTAATGTCGCGAGAACCGGAGGTCATCAAGAAGAAGAAGAAGAAAGGCAGTGGATTTCTCCCGGGGATTGTCCTCTCCCTTAGCAGCCGGAGAAAGGGTGCTCCTCAGAGAGCTCCTCTTTCCTAGGCAGGGAGACTTTAAAAATAATAATAATATGAATAATAATTAGAGGGCTTAAATTATTGGCATCATATGAAATATGTTATTAGGTACCATAATACTGTAAGGTTGGTCGGTCCACGGTTAATATAGATTAATTAATTTAATCTGTGTAATGTTCTAGCATATGGTTATTGTCTGTATTTGAGTGTTGTTAATTGCGGGGTGCTTTATTTTCTTTCTAACTGGGATTTGCATGGGGCATTTCCATTACTGAGTTTAGGTGTCTGAAGAGAGACTTAGACTCTCATCTCCACCAATTTTGTATCTAAAGTAATGGAGCTTGCGGGTATATACTATATATTTTCTTCGATTTATGATTAATGTTCTTCTCGGAGCCAAATATTTCAATACTATTTAGTATACTTGAATTTGGCATATAGTTCTTGTTCTTGACTGGTGTGCTTGATTCTCATTTTTGTTTTTGTGGGCCCTATTTTTGCAGTAAAACTTGAACTTAACATGTTTCATATCTCTTTCTTCCTATCTTCCGTAACTACATGGAGAAAGGGGTATGAAATATAAGATAGGTAAGTCCTACAAAATGAAACGACATTATGAGCTAGGGCTCGCATTTGGTTCTGAAATACCGAAATGTTGACCGATATCTATTGCAAACAAGCTGACAAGCCACGAAAATCGAATGTGAATGTCGGTCTTTTGGTATCGATGTCGAGGCGGTTCCTCAAACCCAATATCGACGATTTTGGTTGACAAAGACCACTTCGTCGATCCAATTGATTCACAGTAACTGATCATTATCTGGTTGAGACCGGTCTCAAATATTGCAATATCGCCCATTGTTAGTAAGTTTGCAGTTGCCGAGAAAAATTTCGGTTCCCGAACCGATTCCACCCCTTATTATAAGGTCCAACCTTTGCCAATATGGCAATATGAAATGAACAAGTTCATGCATAACAATGAGAGGTAACTTATATATATATCCAACGGATAGGGTTTGATGCTCCAATCTTGAGAAATGAAGCAAAATCTGTGATATAATTTTTGTGATAATGGTAAAACTCGTGTCCTTTGTTGACGCAGGAAAGTTCACGGGAAAAAAGGGTCGATCCAAATTGGGTAAGTTTGATATTTTCTAGATATCTGATAGGCTAGTATCTCTTTTCGTTTTTGGCAATGGTTTGACCCAACATAAAATCATTATAAAAGCATTTGTGCTATGACCTATCATGACACTTCATCTACGTCTCCTGTGAGTCCCCGTGGGAGCATATCATTGGCCCGACGTAGAGGCACAGAGCAGCTCTTTTTCAAACAATAGGCCCTACTTCACCCAACATGGTACACTTATTAAAGGTGTAATAAGCTTCCTCCATTTTTTTACTGTTTGGGTAAAAGTAAAACTTTGTTTTCACGAGGTATATACTCATTCCTTTGTGCGAGTTATTCTCGTCATTCTTTTGTGAGTATGAAATTGGTCGCGTGATTAGTGTAATAAGAGCACGTAAGTGTATACTTTGATCTACATAGGTCACTCTAGTTGTTTTTTTGTCCGGTATAAATTTAATATAAATTTTGAATTCATGTCCAAATCATAATATAGATTTGGATAATTTGACGTCACATAGTTATGTTGTTTACAATTCATTTCATGCTTCGATTCTTGCTCTTTTATTATCATTGCTCGTGCAAGTTTGTAAGCTCAATTTGTTTTTCCTTTGAAATAAGTAAAGTCATGCATGTTTGATAACACTTTTTGTTATATAATTCAAGAGTGAAAATTCAGTTTTGGATTTTTAGGGTCTGTTTGATAATTATTTTAATTATAGTTTTGTAGTTTTCATTTTTTGTATTAGAGTATATAAGAAAATGATAGTGAGAATGAGAATGAGGATGAGATTGAGAAAGGATAAGAGGGGAGGATGAGAGGGATGAGTAACAAAAGTGTAAACAGAAACTTGAAAGTGAAAATAATTTCAAATAGATTTCAGTTTTTAGTTTTGGTTTTCACTTTTGTTACTACTCCCTCTCATCCTCTCCTCTCATCTTCCCTCTCAATCTCCATCTCATCCTCACTCATTGTCATTCTTTTTCTCTATACTCTGGCGCAAAAAAACAAAAATAGAAATTATTATCAAACCACCCCTTAATTATTGTATACATCCTATGCATTGATCTTATCCCTTTCGTACCTCTATCATTTTCTCCAAGGTCCCGCATGCACATAATTTTATAAGGTGGAAAAGATGGAAGAAAGAAATCATGATTTGAAGTTGAACAAATCTGTGCATATAATTGAAGAAGGATCTTGTTATCTTAAGGTTCATAAAGGAGTTATTGAGGCTAGCTGCTAGTCTTTACCACAAAGGTACTACCCTAAAGATTAGGGCAGGCAAGATTTTGAACGACAGAAGGATCTTGGATTGGATTTAAGGGCTGGGATTAGCAAGAGCCACAGAGTTTGGGGTCTTAAAAATTTGGACACAACTACAACAGTGTACTAGTGTAGCCTGGTTTTGCAGCACAAGATGACAATGATAAGCCCGAGGCTTTGCTGAGCTTCCCACCACATGCTGCTGCTGCTGCTGCTGCACTACAATTGAGCCCTTTGGAATCTTTTTTAGTTCTAGCAACAAAATCCTGTCAGCCTTTTCATTTTTACATTATTACATTTCACCCTCATGAGATGCTTGCTTTCTAGTTTAACATCCATTTTTCTTTACTTCCTTTTCACTGCTATTCTTTTCCTTTTTCGGGAGGAAAACTTACAGAGTGTATATTCTCCCTTGTTCTTATAGCACTCCAATAGTCACCAAGCTTTATGACAAGTTTCACAAGAACAAGAGATTGTATACTCCGTCCAATTTCAAATTGTCTAACAACATAACATTTATACACACATACAAATACATTTAGGGCCAAGAAGTTATTGTATGAGTATAGGTGTTAAGACTTATGCTTGGGAATTGACAACTCTTTTGAGGTAATATGTGAGCCAAAGTGTGTGGGAGACGGACTTGCATGCTATCTTCATCCAATCATGCTATTATGGGCGGAACTAGCAACAAGGCTACCATGGACTCTAGCCCAGGTAGCTTTTAAAAAATATTTAAAAATATTATATGTATTTTAATGTGATTTCACTCTATAAAAAATTAGTAGTCCACCCAAATATCTATTTTTTAGTTCCTATCCACGTAGTTTTTGTGAATTCGTACGACTTTTGTTCTTTTCTTACATTTCTTTTTGGTTTCTTGTAGCCTAGTAACCCCCATTGTCCACTCAACCTATAGGCTTATAATCATCTTATATTTAATTTGTTTGCTCACTTAAGAGCATCTCCAATGAAGATGTCAAATAATATGTATCAAAATTGGATTTGATGGCTGATAACTTTAGTCAATGGAACTAGCATGATTTATATGATTTATTTTTGTTATTCGCTAGGGAAGGAGAGTATTATATTTGGTTACCTTAAGATTATCTCCTACATGAATCGAACTTGAGCGCACTTGGGGGATAGGGGGAGAGTTTGACCCACTTTTCCACTGTGGTGCCACCTCATGTGCATGGTTTATATGATTTAATGTATATTTTATTTCTACAAAACTATAGAAATTGTAAGTAAAAAAAAAGATTTGAGCATTAGATTTTAAGTTAATAACTTCAACTAACCCACCAGTTGAAAATTTTCTAGTTCTGATTCCGCCCTTACATGTTATGTCATATAGCATCTTTATTATGCGTGATAAAATATAATTAATAAAGAATAACAAAACAGTGTCATCCTATAATATATAGCTTTTCTGAGTGTGCGTGGGCACACACAAAATGCGGGTAGAAGAAAAATCTGATTTTGCAGTCAAAGTATATATATTGAATTCAATAAAGCAGCTACTACTACTAGTGTATGGCTTTTGGGATGTGATCAGAATAATCGCATTATTAGATAGGTGGAGTCAGGTGGATCACATGGGTATGTCACATTCTATTTCCGGGTTCCATTGTAGGAACCTACCAACCTAGGCAGCAACACAGGGTATCTTACTTGGCGTTCTTGGGGGTTCTTACACGTGTCAATACTCCCACGCAGAACTTTATTTTTTACTCTCCAACCATTCTCAGCAGCAGTACACAGATCGATTCACTGTTCACATCATTTACAGTGTCTCAATTTTCTTTTTATTTATTCTGAGATTTGCATGTGGGATTTCTCATAAATTTCTCCTCATGTGAGAATTCATAGGTATATCTTTTTTTTTCCAGATTGTTTTACATAAGGGTAAAGGTTTTGGTGGGGGGGTGTAAAAAACAAAGGTACAAAGTGAAAGTTTAATCAAGAATCTAGTCTGCCTCCAATTCATGGATATGGAAGAGAAAGAAAACTGATCTTTGTAAAGTCTGTGGCTCTGTCGGCTTACCTTTTTTTCATTATTTTCTTAATTAAAAAAAAATTAAAAATAAAGAGGTCTTGGAGTATTAGAAGAAGTCTCAACAAGTACACACTGTCTGTATGCATACTTTCCACAGTATCGGACCTTTTTCTAACCTTTCTTTTTCTGCACACACAATTATATCAAAGAAATCTGAATTAAAGAATGCAGAAGATATTTTTCCCGTTGATAATCTGCTTCCTTCCATCTCATAAGTTGTTCTTCTTGTCTTACTGAAGGGTTTATTTATTTATTTTTTCTGTTTCATCCCCAATAAAGAAAGAAGAAAAGGAACAGAGCCCATGGGCCTGAGTCATGGGCTACCATGCAGCCTGCAGTTGCAGAAAGTAACTATTATGGGCTTGAACGAGCTTTCCAATGAAAATGTGTGTATACACAAGTTTTGGAGAGAGAAAGGTTTTGGAGCAAGAGAGAGAGAGAGAGAGAAAGGGATGGAAGAAGGGGTTTGTGGAGTTTCCAAGGAGGAACAAGTTCGAGGAAATCTAAAACACATAATTGAAGTTGATTTGATTAGAGAGTTGTCGTTGGGTTGTGGTTCTGGTTATGATTATGTCACCCTCTCAAACAAGAAACGAAAAAGGTTCATAAACTCTGTAGTAATGTTACAGTTGAAAAGAAAATTTCTTATTAATTTATTAGGCACTTAATATATCATTATATTATAAATATTAATATAGACAGAACCTTTTGTTACAATGACATTGTCAACATGGAAAATGCTTCAAAACTCAAGCTTTTTCTTTTTAACATACGAGATACTTAACATGCATACTACATTATTACGTTTCAAACATAATCAGATTGTAGATATCTACCGTAATAATGACATAGTTGAGACGAGAAATACTTAAAAACTCAACTTTCTTTTTCTTTTCAACTTATGAGACACTTATATACACACTACATCATTATATTGAAAGCATAATTATATTGTAGAACCCAATGTAATAATGACATGTTCGTAATGGTATAAATTCATAGAAGGCCAACGATATGCACACGACATTATTACATTGAAAATATAGTAAAACTCAATGTAATAATCACATGATTGAAATGAAAAATGCTTTAACGTGATGATGGCATGTTAATTAAGGGGGGGTGAAAATGTAGGATAAGAAGAAATGTTGAGGTACGTGGCATTGGCTCGTGAGCCATGATGCAGCTGACAGTATCCAATCACAAACATAGTTGAGGGGCCTCGGGTCCTCCTCTCTTTTGAAGTGCTCAGATCAACTTTAATTAAATGAAATTTTCGCTTTGAAGTGATCAATCAGCTTTGACACTTGGCTTGGCAGTGGCTCTGGACTTTCTCTGCACAATGTCACAATCAATTCAATGGGAAAAAAAATGTCTTTTCAATACTGTTAATTGACCAATGGGAGATAGTGGCCTTCATGCATTTGGAAACCTCTCAAAATATGCTACCCTAGATTTCCCAAATTTTAATGACCAACAGGTTTTGAGAAAACCAGAGCTGCCAAAGAAAGCAGGAAAAAATTGTTTTGAATTCATGCATATTTGAGGAGCTTGAGTTGATTAAGAACAAGAGCAACACTAAAAAAACTCACATGTATGTATGTATGTATGTATGTGTGTGTGTTTTGGGATTGTGGGTTTTGTTTCTTTGTCTGTAATTTCTTTGAATCTGTCTTGAACTCTCTAAGATTATTGCAGAAGAAAAACAAACATGAAAATGTAAGCATTAATTGATTGTCATCTCCTAGCGAAAGAAATGCTTTTGACTGGAACCCCACATGAAGTGACTCACCATGCGTTGACTAAAATTCCCATTCAAACTGCATCATCATTGTGTTTGTCACTGGCAGTGAAAGTGAAAATCACCTCAATGGCTGGCTGGTGGTGCATTTATACAGCAAACTTGTAAAGTTCTAGCATAAAATGATAGATTTTTTTAAGAGGGAAATTTTGAATTTGGTTATCAATTGTGAGTTTGAGTCTGTGGGATTGTTCTTGGAGGTTTCTGTTTTTGATTTCTTTTTATATCAATTTGGTATCGGAGCAAGGTTGGAATTATAATGTATGTCCAAATCCAATAATTGCGTTTGTGGGTAAAAACTCCCACAAAAGCATGTTCATGTTGTGGATGAGTTCAAGATTTTTTTTTGTTTTTTGTTTTGGATCGAAGATGAGTTCAAGTTTGCAATGATAGATTTGTTATGGTACACAAAGATAATAATAATTATAAAGATGAGGTCATGAACCATTTTGCAGAATCTGTGAGGTGGTTGGGGTTTATGTAGGACTTTGGGAGACACGTCCATGTAAGAGAGAGAGAAGAGTCTTATTCCATTTTCCTATATTTTTACACATCCCTATCATAATTCTACACACTTGTCAGCCTTTGCAACTTGCAGCTGGCTCTCTCTCTCTCTCGGCGGCTTATTACGTCCCTTCCATCTGACCACCTGGGTGAGTTTGCTAAAGCCACTACGCTCTTTCTGATGTGAAAATTCAGTTTTGACTTCACAAGCTCTACAGCTGGTATGGTATAGGATCTCTAGCTGGAATAGAACTTTTGTATCACTGAAAAAAATACAGTTTTGTTATCTTTAACTAATCACGTAAAAAAATACGAAAATTTTTTAACAAAATTAATTAGGAATAGCAAAATAATCTTATGCGTGATATACAAGTTCTCCTTTAGATGTGTTGTAAACTGCAGCAACTTTGCAATTTCACCAATATCAACTATAGTAGCTCACACGCACGTAAGTTGATCCTATTGGTGCAAGTGCGAGACTCGAAGAGAATCAGTCACCTCTTGCGCAACTAATTCTTAACATTTTTCATCTCCTCGAAGTCCCATTTACTCTTGAGCTTGACATAGATTTGTTGGGAGATAAATTGAAACAGATGGGCATCCTTGTCATCTCCTCCAAGTCCTTGAGAAAAAAGCAGCAGACAAGGTGAAGGTGGAAATGGTCCCAACATCACACATTCCATAGCCTATCATTGTCCCATTTGTTTGACTCATGTCACTCTTGCTGCTGTCCTTCCTTGACCGTAGACTCTGCCCTACCCTTTATAGGCCTGTTGCCATCCTGAAAAGTTTTGCCTTCTAGCTACAGTATTTATTGTCGGCAAAACATAGCACATATATATATAATCATATTCATATGCAAAAGATTACATTATTGTGTTAATATAACGTAAACAAAACATTTTACAGGTCAGGTCACACATTTTTTCTGAATTTGATATGAGCACCATAGGCTTGGTAAATCAAGACTCGTGCAACTTCTCAAATGCTAATGTTGCGCATTTGGATTATACGAAGCCCATTAGCATATATAGAAAGCAAGGAAATTTCAACCCATCAATGTCTGTTATGTTGAATTATCCGTATTTGCATCTGAGTTTGCATGAAGTTCATCATGTCACGGTCTGTAACATACTAACAGGCTTTTTGTTGTGTGCCGCTAAGGAAAACAGATGTGATATTATCACATGAAGGACTTGTGAAACCAATCAAGACTTGTGAAAAAGTAGTGTTTGTTTGGTGCCCAAATCGCTTTAGTCTACCAACTTTGTTTTGTCTTTTTTCACTAAAAACCTTTTTTATTTTTAGTTTCCAGTGTCTCCCCCATGAATCCTTGGAGGGTTGATCTCTCTATCTCTCTTGTCAAGGCGGGCTTAAAACTGTATTCACACCCAGCCAAATTAAAAAATAGAAGGAAAAAAAAAGGGAACAATTCTGTTGTGTAGGCAAAAATTCAACACCTATAAATTACATAATAAATTTACACAGTTTGAGCTGCCAAAATAGGCTACCGCAGCGGGACCTCTCATCTTAGCACGACGTTCAACTTGCTCTGCACCAACTCTCTTACATTCCACTGCATAAGAAATTGAAACAGTTTTGGAGGTTACGAGTGCTGCTATGAAGGAAAGAAAGGATTGTATCCTCTTTTCATATGAGTTACCTGCAACTTATTGATTTCTTCATCAGTGAGTGAGCGTTCCATTGATCGATATGCAATCCTGTAACAGTGACTGGTCATTCCTTTCTTGTTTGTGAAATTGTCTATCAATTGCACCTGGCAATCATGGAAGAGATATTTCGGTAAACTGGATATTAAGACTTCCAATATGGATGGGTTGCAAAATATTTGATGAACAAACTTGAAAGAAATACAAATATATTGGTTCCGCAGTGGCAATCATAGAAGAGATATTTCCAAGTACTGTAAAGTAAAACTTCCAAACTTGGATTACCAAAAATTTAAGTGTCAGGATTATTCCACAAGAACCAATTTAGTTTCTTGGAGTAAGATATCCATGAACAAAGTAGTAGTTAATAAATCGTACTTTGTATCTTCCAACCTTAATCAACTTCAGCACGGATATCATTTCAGAAAATTAAATACACTGAAATACGTCAAATAAGAGCTTCTTATCATTTCTGATAAACATCAATGTATCCCTTCAATCAATAACTTTTAACGTCTGCTCATCAAAAACAAAAAAAACAAAACAGAAAAAAGGTCTACACCTCCAGAAAATTTATAAAAGTGAAAACAAGACATACCTCTTCAGCAAGATCTCCAGCAACTTCTCTAACAACTTCGCATAAATTGTTTTCCGTGAAAGCTTCATTGATCCAAAAACTAACATCTTTGTAACAAGGAGGATACTGAAAAGAAAAGGGGAAAAAAGTAGCTTTATAAGAAATGTTTGGAAGCAGTAATCTATCCTGAAAATCAGTAGTTAAACTCATAAATAACAAAATCTTAAGAAGCTATTTTATAAAGAGAATAAAAAAATTCCAATCACATATTAACTGCTGTAAGATCAGAATTTCATTCTTTCTCTTTTCATGGTTTAAATTTTCCTTTCTATCTTTTGATTTAATGCAAGAATTGCATAGAAATGAACCAGACATAACAAAAGGACGCCACAAGCTATAGCACCAGTTCCTTTGCACACAAACACAGAGAGATCAAAGCTCTAACTAAAATTTGTCTTGCACATAATAATAAGCGACCAAAAAAATCAGAAACCTATATGAAAATCTTTAAATCCAAAATTTCAAGCGTCACTAGAGGACATGCACACACTTGCACCACAAAAAGATGTTAATTTCCTCTGTGTGTGTGTTTGTTGCAACAATACCTTTGAAAATGGCTTGAATTTGAGTCCCAGCTGGCCACTTGAAAACTATAACAAAAAATCCAAAATTAGATAATTAGGTCTTACTGGATTACAGAATTATCATCGATTCTTAACACTATTATTTCACTTTTCAAGACTTGAATTTGAACAAAAGGAATATATGTGAAAATGATAGGAACAAAATCATGATTAACAGATTCAGGAACCACCTGGGAGGTGAACCTCTCATCATTTGACCAGAAAAGCCGAATATCAGGGATGTCAAATAAAACCATTGCCAGCCGTTCCAACCCTAGTCCAAAAGCCCAAGCAACATTGTCTGTTTTGCCACTTCTCCTTAATATTTCTTGTTCTGTCACCCCACAACCTAAAACCTCCAACCACTTTTCCTGGTATTGTATTCAACATCAGCTGATAAAGTTGATTTAATGCTAAAAAATTCACACACGCATGCAGTAGCTCAAAAGACAAAAAGACCAGGGTTTTCAAAAAATGAAGAAAAAAAACTTGCCTAAGCATTTAATAAGCACAACTTATTAACTGGCAACATTTATATCAACGGCCACAAGTTCAATATGCGATTTGATTATCAAACGGTGTCCTAGTTGAAAACAAGTAAAAAAAGCACTAGTTGAACATGAATAGTAGCAATAACAATAGAAACAGACAGAATAGAAAGAAATCTCAAAGGATCCGGAACCAACTAGAATTTGACCGACTGAAAAAAACACAGACAATGTGAGATTTCATGGATAATCTTCACCATATTCTGTGGAAGGTACATTTGGACAAGAGTCTAAGATATCTTTTCTTATAAGTTTCATACTTTTTCATCTTCATGCATTTAACGCTTTGTGTTTTGGTTTCTAAGGGTCTCAAGGGTAATTTAGGACTGGCATCAAGTTCACTAGCTTCATCACCAAATTGTTGAAGACCACACTAGCATTCCTAGATATCATAGCCAGCAGATAAGAGAACTTACTTATATACAGGCAACTAATACTCATGAGTTGCTATCACTTTGTGTAAGTACCATTCTTGTAAGTTGTTACTTGTTTAAGGAAATAAGACATGCTTCTGCATAATGTATAAATTTCAGTTACCTGTCCATGGAACAAAAAGAATCTCAAACAGAATGACGCAACAAGAGAGAGACAGAGAGAAGCAGAGTTCCAAAATTAAGTATCTACATATGTACATATATATTTAGAAATAGCATGTCGGCAAATCCACAATCCAAAAACAAACACAACATGCTTTTTTTTCCTTTTCAAAATGATCAGAATACCTGAAAAAAGATCTCAAGTTCAAATGATGGGTTGGTAAATGGGAAATATGTATCAACCCAGCGCATCTCCACAGCACCTGAAAGTTTCAATTGAATAAATTTAGTGGTTCCAAAACAACTGTAGCACACGACAAATAACCAAAAAGAGGTACTAACAAAACACTTGAAGAATTTTCGAACCAAATAAAACTCCATATCCTTGATGCCTAATTTTTGGATGGTAAAACACTCAAATGACATACCCAAATCACAGCTATGTCTATGAGATAATGAGTACAATGGTTCAAGATAGCAGTCACTGTTAATTTACCAAATAAGTGGCGTGCCAAACCCTCAAGACATTTCTTTAAATCCCCAGCAACATAAGTTGTGCCATCTGTGCCAGATGCCTCCCAATGAGATGGAGAAAAGACACGCACACCTTCCATCTATACAGGCAGGAAACAATTCCATCAGATAAGGCATGATTAAAAGAAGCTAATCATCATAGAAGTCTTATTGTAAGCACTAGAGATGGGAAACCTGATGGAACACAGGGTAATGAGTTGAGTCAATGGAATCCCTACGGTAAACATCTCCTGTTACAAGGAAATGAGTATGTCCTCTTCTCAGTAGTTCTGCTTGATGAGCGCTTGTATGACACCTCAAAACTGTTTGAGTGTCCACATAATATGTGTCATTATAACTTCGACTAACATGATCAGCAGGAACCAATACATCGTCAAAATTCTGAAAGAAATGAAAACATAGAGTCATTGTCAAGAAGTCACAAGGTCCTTAGAATTTTACGAGGATAAAGAGCATCGCAACAACACACATCTACAACCCTGCTTTTATAAAAAATTCAGAACTTATTTAATGAGGTTAACAATCTGGAATCAAACACAGTAAACATGAAAGGTAAATTTTTTTTTCCCATAATTTGCTGCATGTTTGTGTTGGGTTTGTTTGGCCGGCCATGCGTTTCAGTTGGCTTCCTAACTCAGTGACCTAGGGTGATGAAACTTGGAAAAATAATTACTCATTCAACATGATATGATGTTGATATTATCCAAAATGCTGAATATAACAGTTAATCAACTTACCATGTGAATGCACCTAAAATCATGTCACACTAGAAATGCTAAAATATAATTGTAAAGCCCTTAGCATCTAATCCTCTCTCTCTCTCTCTCTCTCTCTCTCTCTCTCTCTCTCTCTCTCACACACACACACACACACACACACACACACATATATATATAGAGAGAGAGAGAGAGAGTCCATTTTTTGGTTTTTAGTAAAAAAATGAAGGTTTCCCTTTTAACTATGCCTCCTATTACTGGGGTAATTGACAGATTGTTTACACATAATCCAGGATCAAGTTTGTAATAAAACTAAGCTAGTAAACGAAATTTAGTGGCAAACATTACTCTAAAGTGGGTGCACAGCGATGAAAAACTCAATGGTTGGTATGATTGATTCTCATTATCATCGCATGATCAATGCCTCAAGGAGATGGAGGGTAAACAGCATGGCTATGGTATTCAGTAACCCAAAAAGCATGCATTTACATACATTCATAGTTTATTCCACAAGGGAAACTTGTTTGAAAGAATGTTGGCTCACCATATCTGGCTCCCAACAAATAATTTGCCAGGAAATTATTAGCATCACCAATGAAATTACAAATTGGAGATATACATTAAAAAAAAAACATTTTCTAGAAAAGGAAAAAGCCGAGCAGAAGTCATTGCCCGTGATGATTTCTATACAGCTAATATCCAAAATGAAGCCCATGAGACAGTGGAACCCAAATCCTTTACCAATAACAGAAGATAATGAATGGAGTTGCTTAAATATCACACCCACAACTATGTACGGGTGTGGGTGCAGTGCCGCCACTGTATTATTATTTTTCCTTTACTAGGAATGCCTCAACTGATTTGTCGCATAGGCACAAATACTAGAACAAACTGGAGATAAAGATCTACGCAACATAGGCTTGAAAAGTATAAAAAATGCATCAACAATTTGACACATAAATAGATATTTCTGGAAACTGGTGAACGAGTCATATTCATCATGATTGGGTATTTCATGATCCACAATTTAACAAATTCAAGGTCATACCTCTTTCACAGACACAATTGGACAAAGATTATCAAACTTATCGAACTGATTTGAGTAATTGGTGTCGAAATACTCATATATAGCATTCTTCAAAATCCCAATTGGGTGCTGATCTCTTCTGTGGAGTTGCATTCCAAGCTTTGCAAAAATGGTATCCGGAACATTGTTTGTGGGGTCATCCCTCAACACATCTACAAACCCATAATCCAAACATATTAAGCCACTAACAATTTTTCAGAAAAGCAGGTCTGCAGTTTTCCAATTCCATATATATCTGATACAGTAAGGAAGCAACATATGAGAATTCTAGCATGCTTCAAGATGGTTGTTAGGCTTAGGCCGTCAAAGAGATATGGACGTCGAAATGTGCCAAACCAAGAACAGTATAACACCAGAATGCAATGATTGAAGTGAGATGCAACTTTCTAAGAAGTTGTATCACAAACAACTTTGCAAAAAAAATTCCATCACTTAGGCAAGTGAAGAAACCAAAATAAGGAACTCTGCCCACACAATGAAGACCAGCACGACAATAAAATTTTCAGGTTTGCGTTCTATGATTTAACAATTCAGTGTTGGTTTCTTTTCCCCCCGCTAAGCAATTCAGTGATGTTAATTCATCCTCCGAAACCAGTACCCAATTTCGTACATCTAATCAATAAAAGAGCTTCAAAGCTCCCAGAGCATGACCCTTGATTTCACCTAATACCCAAAAGAGTACACGAAACAAAATGCAAAACTTTTCAACCAACTAAATTACATAGCAAACAAAGTACAGTGCAGCAGTTAATGAATGACAATAAAACATGAACTGACCCAGGTTCTAAAATACGTTAAACCATCTCATATATCACAAGTTTGCAGAATGCCACAACATATTGAACAAATAAAGTAACAGCTTTGGGCCAACTCAGGTTGTGGAAATGCAAGCCAAGTACAAAAATCTCACTACCACAGCATACCCAGCACAGCATAACAGCAAAAAGCTCAAAACTAAGAGCAACCCATATTTGGGGAATGGTCAAAGTTACCATCTTTAGCAATCTTGACGCCACCAAGTTCCAGCACTGAAGCCACTGGCTGTCTCCATTTCTTGCTTTGAAGCTTATCAGACGAAAGAGATGCAGCTGATGAAGAAGAGAAAGGTAGGCAAAAAGAGAAGGTTCTTAGGCCATTTGTGCGGATAGAGAGTGAGGTCTTGGAGAAGAGAATGGTCTGCGCAAATGAGAAGGCCGTTGCCATTCTCGTTGAGACTGAAAGTGCTGTGCGTGGCAGCCTCTCTAGTCTTATCGATGATTTGGGGCTTTTCTTTTCTCTGGTTCTCTTGTTCTCTTGTTCTCTTTTCTTTTTCCAACAAATTTTCTCCAGGATTTGGGGTGTTTGGGTTTGATTGGCCCAAAATAGAAAACTAACAGTGGTAGAACTGAAAATGGCCAATATCGTAGTGGGCCTAAAGGCCCATATTATTATGGTCTTTTTTATCATGGTCACACAAATTTGATTAATTGGTGTAAGTGAGAAATTGTTATTTTCTTTAATACAAGTGATATTTAGGGGAAAGGATGATTCGAACATAAAATCACGATTCTGCGACAATTTTTAATTGGCCACATTAGAATACATGATGTATAGATAGTATGCCACTCTCTATCAAAATTGTCATAAATAAAATGTGTCAATTATACTCAAAGGAATTTCATGCTACATAACTCATACTTTCTCTTCTTAGAGCAACTTTAAGGTACGAGGCAAATGTATCTTTAGTATACCTATGTGACTTTTTTACCTACAAAAATTTCTTTATATTTTTTGTAAGACCTCAAAAATTTGTTACCCTAATAATTTGATAGAAGAAACCATTATGTTATTCATCTTTTACTAGAGGCTAGAATTATAGCAAATTTTTTTTTATAAAAAAAGTAAATACGAATTTCATTAATTAAGAAAAATAAACAACACCCCCAAAATCATGCATCCCAAAGCCAAGATCGATTTAAAGACTAGTAGGCTGGCCCCTTACTATAGCTCATATAGTGAAAGTACTAATTAAGAGATTTTCATGCTGATTCACAATGACCTCATACGCATTATTGAGACAATGGAGCGGATTAGGCATCGTTAATATCCCGCGTGGTCCTAAAGCAGCTTACTTTTGAAGACTAAATAATAAATAGACACTTAACCTATTAATCGCTTTCAGAGTCCAATAAAAAAGCCTATTGTCAAGTCTAAAGTGCCAATGAAATTTTAGAATCTTGTGAATTAAAGTTCCATTTATGTAGTTACAGAACAAAATATATCCACTTGAAGAAGGGCATATGCTTTCCTTGACTTTAATGAATAGAGTTGAGGTAATTTTGGTTTTGTTTAGGGGATGCGGTGATACTCTTTTTTCTTGATTGGATTTTCCCCAACTAGAGTTTCATGGTAAGATTTTAACGAGACCGCATAGATGCATCAATCCTTGTTATTGTTGAATGACGCTTCATTTACAATTATATATATATATATATATATATATAAAAGAATAAAGTTGATGTTACATTGGATTAGGCTCATGTCCTTGATTGAAATTTGGTATGATGTCATTTTATATCATTGCGTATAAAAACCATTAGGAAGAAGAAGCTGGTCCGACCAATTAAAAAACAATGATTTAATCAGCTCTCCTCTGGCTTAAAAGAAAAAATTATACGACATTAATAAAATAACTTTGAGGACAGGTTGATTGGGCATTGATGTTCAGTAAAGTGTATTTTTCCCAACCACCTAGTGACCTGCATAGGACACAAAATTAGCAAAACTATCATTGCTGTGTTTGTTTATTATTACTAGTAATTTAGTATTATATATTATTACGTATGATTAGATAATGAGAATACCCCAAAAAAAAAACATAATCATTTCTATTTTCATTTTCTTTTGGGGTTGAAAAGTATATCTACGGTTTGAATTAGTAGTAGATGATTGTAAATTTGCATGTGGCTCAAATCATAGGCCATTGAATTAGTCCTACTTATTATCATATCATGTCTTTTTTTTTTCTTTCTAATGTTCTCAATGGCTTAGGTAAATGATATACTTGTATAGTTTTTAAAAGTCAAACCAAAAGTTGGCAAAATACAAAAAGAAAAAAGAAAAGAGAAAAGATATTCACTAGGGAATTGCCCACCCCAATAATGATTTGGTGGTATATGGTCTTGTTGAGGGGGCGACTGGTCTAATTCGCATTTGTTAGTTTAGATGTTTATACAATAGTATTAGAGGCACAAATGTATTTTAGTAAATTTATTCACCAAATAAATAAATTTTAATGTGAGTTAAATAAGTGACGAATTACATTGCATATCATTTTGGAAACGAAATTTGATGAAAAAAATATGGTGTGAAAATCTTATTATAAAGAGTTGGGGTTGCGAAAAATTCTCCACCCTTGTTTGACAAACAATGCATGATGAAATGCTTCCATGTCACAAAAACCCAATTTCCAATTCCCATTTCCCATTCATTCACCTGCCTTTTTAGCCAATGAAATCTTTTTTGCGTAGCCCCAATTTTTCCACCAAAATTAGGCAAAGTTTGCAAAGTTTGGTAAGCAAACTTCTAAAATAAACTTTGGGCAGCTTAAAGCAACTCATAGTCCATAGGTGGATGGTAATGCTAAATTCTCTAGTCAACAAGGCTCATAATTTTGATTCACTTTAGACTTGAGATAGAGTCAAAGACACTTTGCACAAGTTAGAAATTATAAGAAAAGTCCAAAAAAAACACACACACACAAACACACACTAGATGAGATTGGATCCAACTTGCCTTTGAGACCTATGTCTTGTTGTGCCCCTAATTTAATATCTATGGGCAAAAATTACAATCCACCCATCATCATGCACATTCATTGGATATCAAAAACTTTTTTTTTTTTCCAACCATCCTTTAAACAAATCTCAAATCTCAAATCTCTATTCCATCCTTTTTTTTAAAATTTTATTTCTTATAATATAAAATGTTTATTTTAATTTTTGTTTTTTAGACCGACCCATTTCCGATGGGCTCGGATCATAACCGGGCCCCACCCGCTCAATGAGGGAGGGCAAAATCGGCAGAGCGGCAAAACAGGTGGTTGAAGCTTCATGTCTAAGCTCATCCTCGTCCTATCTTTCCAACAGAAGAGCAAACATATACCTAGCGGGACCCAGCAACCCACGCCCGCTACCCAAATCGGCACAGAGTCTAAAGTACCCATGGGCCCTGGCCCCACCCGGTACTTCCCTGATCGAGGGCACTTGCGTCATTTAAAGGAGGTGGTTACACTGATAATTGATTCTTGTCTTCCTCGCCACTGCTACTGTTAGCTGTCTGTCTTGTGGATGCTCCCTCTGCCTATAAGCTCAGAGAGATCTCGCCATTTTTCCAGAGAGAGATAGAGAGAGATTCAGAATTTTAGAGAGAGAAAATGAGGGAGCCACTGAACGACGTGTCGTCCGCGCCACCGCCGCCTCAGGCTTTGCTGGAGCGGCTCAAGGATTACGGCCAAGAAGACGCCTTTGCCCTCTGGGACGAGCTCTCTCCCGACGAACGTCAGCTTCTCGTCAAGGAAATCGAGGTCATTGTAATTCCCTTTAGATCTCTCTTTTCTCTGTTTTTGGTTTTCAGTTTTCTCGGGAACCAAACAGTGGAGTTAAGATTCTTGAACAGAGCTTGGCAATCCAACTCGGAACCAATCACGATAATTCAGCTGAATTTTCATAAATTTTTTATATTTGAATTCTTATATAACGAATTGATTGCATGGTTAATTTTGCTTGTGAATCATGAGATTGATGCAATTGAGGTTTATGTTTTGTGTAGAGTTTGGATCTTTCGAGAATCGATCGGATCATACGGTGTTCGCTTCGATCTCACGGTTAGTATCTTGGTATATACACGCACGCATTATAATTATAGTGTAGTTCTGATGGATTTTGGTTTGTTTTGAAGGGCTACCAACGGCGGCGATTGAGCCGGTGCCGGAGAGTAGTGTGTCGTCGGTGGAGGAGCGAACGCTTGAGGATAGGGAGAGATGGTGGAAGATGGGATTGAAAGCCATCTATGAGGGAAAGTTGGCTGTGCTACTTTTATCTGGTGGACAGGTAAGGTCCTATTTTCAATTATGTTTTGTTTTGTAACTTTTAGGTTATGTTTGCCTAACGTGGCTTTGCTTAGTACTCCTCGCTTTTGCTTATTGTTCAACTTTACACTACATCAAAAGATAATTATTAGTTTAATAATCCTGTTTTAGTCGGCTGTTACATTTGCAACCTCTCTCAGTCTCTCTCCCCTCCTAAAACTATAACTTTTGGTATGGTGTTGCTTTTTTGGGGTTATGTGTACATGAAGACAACTTGATAATAGATAGGGTTAGGTCACTTACTAATAATGCATAAAGCAAACTTTATAAGTTTATAATGGACTTAATCACCCTCTCCTTCTCTCTCTAACTATTATTTTGCGATCATTTACTTTATGGAATTATGGATTTCTCTACAAATAATCTCTCTCTCTCTGTGGTAGTTATGATGTTCTTTTTCTTAATGTCCATTTGGGACAATTGTTAATGGCACTTGGTGATAGAAAAAGCATGCAATTTGGTTTGTCCCTTGAGTAAGCATTTAATTACAACAAAGTTGCTTTATAGGATTCCAAACTTCTTTATTCTTTTTTCTTGGGGGTGAGGGGATGTATTATGCAAAGGGAAAATGTTCTACACTGTAGATCATTCTCTAGTAACAATTGGAACATGATAATGGAGTAATCCTGTCTGCTTGAGCATCACCAGATGTGAAATGTAAACATGTTTGGGTTCCATATCTTTCTTTTTTTATATTAGAAACAGAACTGTTCATTAACAATAAAAAACAGGGGCCCATATTTGCCAATACTTCTGTAAATGCTTTCAAAGCATATGAAGATCATTTCAGGGGCCCATCTTTGTCAGCTTCCTGACTCAGACAATCACATTTTGAAAGTTGTGCGGACAACTCATTGTGATAGTAAACTACTCAAGCTTCATAATTCTCTGGATAATACTAATTATGGTAATGCAAACCAGTAGAAATTTTGTTTAGGAATGAATTGATTAAACATATAATACTTCAGCACATACCAAAGGAAGAGGCCTTTCCTTACTGTTGCAGAGTTTTGCTTTTTGTTGTTTTGAAACTTTCTTACTACTTAAAATCCAGAAATATTTATGAAAATTTGTATTAGGTTATTTTAGGTATTCAAGCAAGTTACTTTTGATTGATTGCGAACAGAACTTATATATACCATGGATTATGGGCAGGCAATGCGTAGGTAAACATTCACAAAAATGGGAAGATTCCCCTTAATCCCCCTTGTATAGAATACCTGTTTGATCATGCTTCTGGTTTGAGGGATATAAATTTATGTGGATTGGTCCTCCAAACTGTTTGTGGGTTTAGCAACAAAGCAAAAAATATATTTGATGCAATCCTTCAGGCTTGGATTGCTTCTGCACATTTTCTCAATACCTTATTAAGATATCCAGCATATTCTCTTTTTCTTTTTGGTCAACTATCTGGCATATTCTCAAGTGCGAGCTTGGTTGATTTCACAGGGAACTCGGCTCGGAAGTTCAGATCCGAAGGGATGTTTCAGTGAGTAGTAACCCTTCCCTTTTTTCATTCTTCACCTGATGTTGAAGCATTTTCTGTATCAACCTCTCTCTCTCTCTCTCTCTCTCGCCCCCCTCCTCCTCCTCCCTTTTTCTCTCTATAAAATTATACCTTTATGTTTAGTTTTACCCAAAGTGGTTATCTTATTTGTACTTTTTTATAGACATTGGGCTTCCATCTGGAAAGTCGCTCTTTCAACTCCAAGCAGAGCGGATTTTGTGTGTTCAGCGACTAGCTGCTCAAGCTACAACTGAGGGTATGGTTTATTTCTTGTCTTTTCCCCTCCTCTCTTTCCAGTCCAGAGGCTAGGCTATAAATCAAGGTAGCCTCCCACTACAGATAAACTTTTAAGTCTTGGTGAAGCTGAAATTTGAGCCAGTTCTTTTGTATGACAAGGCTACTAGCAGCTGAGCTGGCATTTTTATGGTTCATTGCAAGAGGTTCTGTATGGCCATAAGTGATTTGAAATTTCGTACTAATTACTGTATTATTCAGGTTCTACTGCTGCACTGCAAATACATTGGTATATTATGACCAGTCCATTTACTGATGAAGCCACACGGAAATTTTTTGAAAGTCATAAATACTTTGGTCTTGAAGCTGACCAGGTAAGAAGTTTTCAGATTATTTTTTCTTAAACTTTGTGAATAAGGCTTTAGTTCTGGGATGATTTTGCTTACTTCGCACTTCCTTGATGCAGGTCACCTTCTTTCAGCAAGGCACCATACCTTGTGTCTCTAAGGATGGTAGATTTATTATGGAAACTCCATACGGGGTATGGTTTCTATTTGTACTTGATCTTATTCAGAAATTTCTTTTTGTTTGAACCCCTTTTTAAGGCTTTGCATAATCTCTGACTTGCCGTAGAGCTTTAGCCAAAGGATAATTTATTGTTTTACAAGTTAAGGATAAGTACGCAGAGCTTAAAGGGTTGTATTATTTAAAAATGCCACTTTTGATATGTGAAATTACTTAGGTCATGGGCTAAAGTGTATATGAGTCTGAATACAGAACTCTACTTTCCTTTAAAAAAACATTAAGAAAAGGAAAATGGCAATTGTAAAAGGACCGAGGTAGTGAAACACGGGATCTATATATATATATTCAAACATTCAATTCTGAAAATTTGTTATTAAGGGTACCTAATGTTTCTTATATTACTCTATATTCACTAGTCTATAAAGATAGTAGTTTACTGCCACCCATTAGAAATGGCTTTGATTAACATTAGTTTATTTTTTTAAGCCAGGTAGCTAAGGCTCCGGATGGTAATGGAGGAGTATATTCAGGTATGTTTCTATAATATTTGGCCCAACATGTCTATTACTACTGCCTAGCTTAATTTCATCAATTTTCTTTAACTATCCAGAAAATATTCATTACTGGACTCATATATTCTTTTTATCAGCTTTAAAATCTTCAAGATTATTAGAAGATATGGCTACGAGAGGAATTAAGTATGTGGATTGCTATGGAGTTGACAATGCACTGGTGAGATTTCTTTCTCTCTGAATAATGTGTATGCTTTGCCAGAAGGGAAAAAAGAAGGGGAGAACCAAGATTCCTTTTCTTCCAATATTGAGTTGGTCGAGGAAGAAAATTGTCATTTTCATTGTCCTCTCAGGCCCACCAAAAATATCAACTGAAAATAGGTGATGCATAGTGGAAAGTTCGGTAGAAGGAACCAAACTTACATATTGGAGAGATACAATTTCCTCTGCTTTTCCTTTTACTTTTATAATTTGAAATTTTAATTCAACTGGAGTGTTAAATTATTCTTTTGTTTATTGAAGTATTGGAAATTTTTCTTATTTTAGAGGCATAGTGATTAGGTTCTTGAAAGCAGGTTCGTGTAGCTGATCCAACTTTCTTGGGTTATTTCATTGACAAAGGTGTTTCGGCTGCTGCAAAAGTTGTACGTAAGGTAACTAATATGCACGCATGAAACCCTATTAGAACATCAATTATTTCCATCCATTGTCTCATTAAATTTTAAACTTGAGAAAATAACTGATTTGGATTGAAATATATCTTTCATTGCTTTATATAATCCATTTGAATCCAAAGGTTCCCTCAACTCGCTTACTCTCTCTTTCTTTCTTTCTCTGACACACACACACACAAGCATTTGCTCTTACATTTCGAGTTACTTGGGTTTTGGGTTACAGGCATACCCACAAGAAAAGGTTGGCGTGTTTGTACGTCGAGGAAAAGGTGGACCTCTTACTGTGGTAGAATACAGTGAGATGGATTCATCTCTGGCTTCTGCAATCAACCAAGAAACTGGACGTCTTCGTTTTTGTTGGAGTAATGTAATGTCTACAACTTTTAACCTGTCACTTTTTATTTATTTGTTGTATTTTTATTTCCCCAAAACATTGACATGGATAGGTTGAAGCTAGAGACCGTTGTTATTGTACTTTCAGTTGTCATGTCCTTTTAGGTTAATATTTCAATTATGACATTTGGTTCTTTTTAAATTATGCTTCAGTGACTCTTGACACATTGTGTTTTCCAGGTGTGCTTGCACATGTTTACTCTGGACTTTCTAAACCAAGTGGCAAATGGCCTTGAGAAGGACAGCATGTTAGTCTCTCTCTCTCTCTCTCTCTGTTTTTTGTTTTTGATTCTCTTTCTTGATCCACAGTATGTCTCAAAACGCATTAGATACTTTGAATTCGTATCTAGTTGACTACATGGATACATGATGGAATGCAAGGGATACAGGAGGGGTTATTTTGTGTTTTCTTTTTCAAGAACAAAGGGGTGAGGGTAATTGTTTCTAGAAAAAAATGGGTTGTTTGGAATTGTTTCTATAAAAGCGAGATCTGAGTGCTAGTTTCAAATGTTAAAGAAAAAATAAACAATTAATATTTAACTATATTTTCTTTATTGTCTTATCCCTGTATCTGCTAATCTTTTATATTTGTCATATCGTCGTATTGTTTTGCATATCTTGTAACATATGTGTGACACAGCAATGGATTATTAGCTTTCTTGTCTGAGCTTTTTCCTTTTCTGATTTCCGCTTCAAATTAACAATGATTATACCAATAGTGATAATCATGTCTAGCTTGTTAGAAATGGATAAGATAAGTAAACCATATTGTTGAGATTACTGTCATGGCTCTGTTCTGTATGGCAGAGGTTCCATGGACTTCTGTAAATTATGCAAGGAGAGGACCTAAGCTAGCTTCTAAATATCTACTCTCTCTCTTTCAACTTGAGCTAGCTTTTGTCTAAGTACATGCCACATGGTGTCATTACAAAGTAAAATGCAGATGTTAAGTTTTACTTTTTGTTTTTTAGTTTATACATCATTAGCACCTTGCATTTGGAGTTTCTCATCCATAGTTATTCTAATGATATTGTTGCAAACATGCTGTTGTGAATGCAGTTACCATCTTGCTGAGAAGAAAATTCCTTCTATCCATGGACATACAATGGGATTAAAACTAGAGCAGTTCATATTTGATGCGTTTCCATATGCACCTTCAACTGCACTTTTTGAGGTGACTTCATTTTCCCCTCTCCCCTATTTTTTTTTTACACTAACACCAATACTTTCCTTTCATGACTTTGTGGTGCTAAGGGTTGCATTTGTTTGCCAAATATTCAGGTATTGCGTGAAGAAGAGTTTGCACCAGTAAAGAATGCAAATGGGTCAAATTTTGACACCCCAGATAGCGCTCGGCTTCTTGTTCTCCGACTTCACACTCGTTGGGTAGTTGCCGCTGGTGGATTCTTAACGCATTCAGTGCCTTTATATGCAACTGGTAATTCATGCACTTTGTTTTCATTCACATTCTAGTATGTGCATAAAGGAGGGGAAGGAAATAAAACCAAAGAAAATGGATGATTGTGCATGATTTTGACCTGGAGTCCTGAATAGGAGGTCTCATACTCTGGTCTGTTAACTGACAGTAAAATTCTAGCTTTGGAAAAGCGATGGGCAGGGTATAGTGTGACTACCATAGACCCTCAATTTACATTAATGTAGATATGACTGTACTGTGTCAATTTCCCTGGAGAAAGTCTTGGCAGCTCTCTGACAATGGAGTGGAGCCTCAATGCAGGTCCCACATGCAGGCCCCACAACATTGTCAGGGAGCAGCCCAATAGGGCGGCCTCACCCAAGAATTTCTCCTGAATATGGATCTTAAACATCAAGGTTAAAATAGTAGTGGTTAAGTTCATATCTCTATTTAAAAAAACATGTGAAAAGTGAACAGTTGTACTGTGTGAATGAAAATATTTAGAAGAATAAAACTTTCGTTTTCCTGCATTTATCTTTTTGGCCCATTTCTAGTCTTTGTGCTCTTTATGTAATTCTCAGTTCTCTGACATAATTGATGTTGATCAAATTCTCAGGTGTAGAGGTGTCACCTCTTTGTTCTTATGTCGGAGAAAACCTAGAAGCTATATGCCGCGGAAGAACCTTCCATGCCCCTTGTGAGATTACATTTTAATGAGTTGAAAGAAACGTTTCTTTTTTATTTTATTTTTTCTTAATTTGTGCGGCTGTATTTTACCGGAAACTAGAGTGAGTTAGGTCCCTCTATCTTTGAGGTGTTGTGATAAGTTTAGTGGGTGATTTGCGTTGTATAAATATAAAATGAAGGTCTTGGGACAATTTGGTTATGATCCAATTCTATCAATATATGTTTTGCAATTTTCTTCTTCTCCTTGATTAATTATGAGCCCCATTGATGCTTCTCCTCCCTCTTTTGTGAGTGTTATTCGTTTTCAGTTCTGTTTCTTGAGCTTTCAATCAAAATAACAAAAGTAAGTCGTAAAACAACCTCGTATCAGATTTGAAACTTGTGTTGGAAGTTTGTCAAAACCATGGTTGAACTGTTCATCCCAATGACATACTTCGATTCTTATTTCTGTACTGGATGTGCGACTACAAATAATGATACAATATATCCAATAAGATGAAAACTAAGGGCATGGCTACTAATACTTTCATTTTAGATTTTTAGTTTTTACAATTTTGTCATAGACGAAGGGGAAACCATGTAGGAGAATGGGGGATGAAGGTAGAAAGAAAAAAGGATTTTATGAGGACCAAGGAAACGGTGAAATTAACTACAAATACTGACCTCACTTGAAAGCTACTGTCAGAGTGTGATTCTCTATATACAAAACATTAAATCTTTTATTTTGTTGTCCACTCAAAGTAGTAAAATAAGTTTCCAGCCAATACAAGCATATCAGAGAGCATGCCAGTCACAAGACAAACACAAACCACAATGCTCCATTGCAACCACGGAAGGAAAAAGAATAAAAAAAGCAAGAAGGGGTTTCAGGCTCCGGGCAGAAAAGTTCCACAGATTGCCAGAGAAAATGAGAAGTCACATAAGGCTGTAGTGTGGGAACCTGTGAAGTAACACGAATGACACCAAGCATTAAGAAAAAAGGGGCCAATAACAGGAGATAATGACTATAGTTAGAACATATATCAAATACATCAGCCAACAATGACTGTAACTAATTATGCAAAGCACTTTTGGAATGGAAGGCATCATGCACTTACAATAAATCCACAGCTTAGGCCATAGTATCAGTTTCTATCATTAGAATAAACATTCTCCATGCAGGTTCAATGATATGGTGATACCCCAAGTAGCGGCTCCATGCCCGCCAATTGATGCTGCAGGAACTCGTAAACTGATTCAGTTGTTGTGGCAGCTATACGAACAACCACCCCAATTCCCTGAAGACATAAAGAACCGTTGGCGTGCATTAATAATGAGTCGTGCCGTGCAATAATAATGATTAGACATATTGAGGAAAAATGAAATGTAGAAGTCAAATTTCATCAATCAAAATCACATATCAAATCTACCCTTATATGAATTAATACAAGTAGAGATTGTGACTAAGATTGATCAAGTTTATACATGCAATTAGAGGTTAACAGGAAACAGAGCTCATAAACGGGATTACACAAGTTACTGAGTTGGTCAGTGGTATTGACAGGAAGGTTTAATGATTTAATGGTAAAGAACATTTGGCAAGCCTTGGTTTAACACCAGAAGATTAACAGGCGCTTAGCAGCATGACCTGATCAATATACCTCAGGACCAAAAACACTTGAAGAAGCAATAAAGCTTGGTTTGGTGAAGCGATTAGCAGAATTTGGTTTTAATTGGCGACCAGAGGCAGTGGAAGGAATGTGTAATTGCTCAGACATCATCCTCTTCACGTTTTCTTGAACTAGGTTTTGAATGTGCTTGATCCTTGGCCTACAATGAAGCAGCCACAAGTTAACATTGATTTATTTCGTTAATTCTGTACATCCTAACGAGTAAATACGGTACACGAGAAGATGCAAAGGATCTATGCATAATGAAGTACTCACCCCAAGATTACAACCATTGCAATGACTTGGTAGTCCTGCATGCGTTCTGCAATCGAAGAAATACTTCCACGCTCCAGGTGCACCTGTAACACTGAACCATCTGAGTAGAAGAGCAAGGGAAGACAACAGGATTTCGACATGCAAGCTCATTTCACAGAATTTTAGTGCACGCATAAAAACAAAGTTTGTTTCTAATAAAAAAGGAACAGGAAATACATACATATATGTATATATGTATAGAGAGAGAGAGAGAGAGAGAGAGAGAGAGAGAGAGAGAGAGAGAGAGTTATATTATGTCAATGGGTATATTCAGGTGATTAAAGTTTTACTAGGTTGATAACATATAACCAACCCAAAATATAGTCAAGCAGTTACCAAATTCCCTCTGGTGAAAAAATACTTATTGGTAGAAGTACCACCACTAAGAACTAAGCATTAGCCTCTTTAGACGGCAACAAATACAAAATGAAATAAAAAGAAAATGATTACCATGTCAAGAAACAAAGGCTCATCATCTTCTATAAATATGTGGTTGGCACTCTTATAAAGATCAAAATCCCATTTTTCTCCACTTTCATGACGCCCACTGGTAATCCAATCAACAATGACCAAACTTGAGTTAGAGGCTATCCTAAAGACTTGTTTCTGAGAGTACCTTGCTGTGGAGAAACATGTCACCGGATCTGGAATGACAGCCAAAAGAGCATCGCTCCCAACTCTTGCCTACTGTATAGAAATGTGATTTCCAAGATTCACAGGTAATGTAGCCATTGACAGAAGCATTAACTAATCAGAACACATAATTAGAATAACTGTATATTGATAACGTCCCGAAAATGTGCGGCATTAAATTGCTCTATGTTTGGTTAGGCGAGATTGTTACCTCCAAGACTTGCTCACAGCACTTTGATCCCACAGACTTGTAGATCTACGCAAGAACATAAATCGACTTAAGAAATCTAGACACAAGGCATTTCAATGAAGCCAATTCTCCAAACCATCTAATGGGAAAAAGGGAATATTATTAAATCTGAGAATGAAATATATTTTCTGTAAGTAACCTTAGTGGAAGCTTGGGTTGTTAAGACAGTGGTGCAACCATCTCCAATGGTAAATTCACATGAAATAGAATCTCCCTAAACAATAGAACAAAGCTAAATAAATTAACCCCCAAAAAAACAAAAAAAACAGATTACAACCCACAAGCAAATAAACAATCATGAACAAAGCAAAAATATACACAACAGATGGGAAAAGGGAAAAAGAACGAGACAAGGAGAGCACATACAGAGACAATGCCGCCACCATAGGTGAGGGTGTAAACCCAAACAGCGTCAGTTTCAGAGGAACCCACCTGAGGAAAAATCATAATTAGCATCCCAAACTGATCAATTCATATTATTGTCAACAAAACACAGGTACCCATATGTCCATATGATATGATATGTGAGCTAAGATTGCCAAAAGAGAAAATATGAACAAAGCCAAAAATGAGACCTTTCTGGGAATTATAAACTTGAGAGGATACTTTGAGAAGCATCTTGTCACTGTTGACCTTCCTCCCACTTTATCAACCACCACCCTTCCCTGTTTTTCCATCTCTCTCTCTCTCTCTCTCTCTCTCTAGAGCTGTATAGTGTATACAAGCGAGGCCGAATGGGGAGCACGTGTCAAAAAATTGGGTCGGGTCCGACGTATCGGTTTAAACCCGTTATCTTTATCCGGGTTCAAACTTTTTTTTTCCTCGTTATTTTTAGGATTTTTTTTTCTTTTAAAAAACCCAAAACAAAGCCCCCTCTTCCTCAGTCGCTCCAGTCTCTAGGGTTCTAACTCAGCTATCACCAGCTCAGAACTCATACTCGTCTTCTCCAAGGTACTCTCTCTCTCTCTGTGTATATATTTTATGTTATATACAATCTATAATGTTTGATTTTGGACGTGTGAATCAGAAATGGTAGCTTTTGTGTTTTAATATCAAATTGTCTAATTTTAATGGAGTTTACATCGAGCTCCGAAAGTGGGCTCTTCTTTGTTTATTAGTTTTCTTTACCTTCTGTTTGATTTCTCAGAAAATGGGATCAGAAAATTTCAACCGAAACTTCAAATGATCCCTTGCTTCCTGTCTATTCTGTTTTTGATTGCTGAAGACGAGGCTTAGTTGAAGACAAAGTCTTAATCTTGTTATTAAAAGATACCAGAAAAACACAAAGCTGAAGCGTTTTCTATCTCAGAATCCAAATGACGGGATTCTGGGATTAAAAATTTCGCCCCCTACTCTCAGAAGTCAGAAACCAAACATTTTTTTTCTTCAATTTTAATGATTTGATAATTTCTTTTGATATAAATATAAAATGATTTGATGGTCGAAGAATGATAGAAATTTACTTCCCTTAAGATCGATAATGTATTTTGATAGGAAACGAACTAATAGTTGAGGAATGCTAGTTTTATTTATTTATTTCAAAGAGTGTATTTAGTCAAGCTTTCGTTTTGTTAGCGTAGTAATCTTTTCGTTTTATTTTTTAGATATCCACTCTTCGATTCTGTCAAACTTCAATCGTTTAGCACTAAAATGCCTACGAATTAACTATAACAAATGCATCAAACAGGTTGTGTGTGGATTCCAGCCTCAGATAATTGCTAAAGTGAGTGGCGAAATGTGTTCCTCTTAGGTCGATTCCCACTTGTTAGAGAACGGACTCTTGTGGCAACCTTGAAAAAATGAGCTTGGTCTTAAGATTAAGGCAGCATTTGCCTAATGGGTTTTGCAGAAGACCCTTTATTTCTCCCCTCGCAGCACTGAATCCTGGTAGCTTAAATGGGTTTTGTCAAAACTTTAGTCAACCTGCAAGGAAAGAAGAGGAAGAGGAGGAAGAAGTGGAGATTGACCAAAGGAGACTACCTGCTGATTACGATCCAGCAACATTTGATCCAACAGAGCATCGCAGTCCTCCAACTGATCGTGTTTTTAGGCTCGTAGATGAAATATCATCACTCACACTGGCCGAAGTTGCTGAGCTGGGTTCCATTATGATGAGGAAAAAGGGAATGAAGGAACCACCAATTGTTGGAGTCATGAAGCCAGGAGCTGCTGGATTAGGATTGGCAATGAAGGGACCAGCAGCAGCTAAGGAGGAGAAGAAACCAGAAAAGACTGTCTTTGAATTAAAATTGGAGTCATTTGAGGCAGCTTCTAAAATAAAACTGATCAAGGAGGTAAGGAGCTTCACTGACTTAGGCCTCAAGGAAGCAAAGGATTTAGTGGAGAAGGCACCATCTGTGCTAAAGAAAGGATTATCAAAGGAAGAAGGAGAACAACTAATAGAGAAGCTCAAAGCTGTTGGGGCAAAAGTTGTTCTTGAATGAAATCATTACGACGATGCATATGTACTCCACTTTGAGAGGTTGTGAGATTAGTTAATGTTTCTTGCGGAACACCAGGTCACCAGCTTTTCTGAAATTTTAGCAATCCATATAAAACACATCTCAGATTTTCTCCAATTGTTTTGAAGTTGAGATATTTTCTGATGATTGATTTCTTTTTGTATTGATATCTAAGCCGGTAAAGGTGAGATTTTGATTAAGATGGGCCATCGACATGGAAGGCTTTCCATAATTGAAGGGGGAAGTTTTTGAGTATGTTTGATGTCATATCTTCATAGTGTTTTGTAATTCTGTACAGAGCAGGTCCTTGTAAAAATAAGTTGCGACGGGTAGCCTTCTTGCACTTCTAATAAGGGGTGGAAAGCTCCAAGTGATAAGAATGAGATACCTATTTACTTGGCTAATTAGTAGAACTTGCAATTTGAATCAACTAAAATTGTGTGTATTTGACACAAACGAGCCAAGCCCCTTTACAAATTAGGTGTAGGCTAAAAAGAGAACCGGATTATATTAATTCTTGGACTTCTGAAGTAGCTCGGGATCCTGGGACAAGTACCAAATATATTCCGTCTTTATGATCAAGATCTGTGTATATCTCCCTATTCACCAAACTAAAAAGGGCACGGATTCCTTCTATTTGAATTCTCCTGTTGATGTGTGTATATATATGTATTTCATCTCCAGACTCTCCACCTGTGAAATAACAAATTGCTACGTTATAATTTTACAGTTCTGGAAAATAAGAAATATGAAGATAAAAACAAGGGCCGGTGAAGAAGCATGTTCTTGGCACAACAAAACAAAGAAATAGTGTGCCATACGATTAGGTCAACCGAGGTTGGTTTCCAAGACGTTGGGGAATTTCCCTACAGAAAATAAGCAGCAAAAATCCCTTATAACTCACTTTTGGAAGTGCATTGCTATTGACGAGAGAGGTCTTTCGAATGCAAATGTCTTGATGCCAAGCCGTGCAGCTGTGTGGGTCCCACAGTAGACTGGTCCTTGAACAAGAGTGAAAACTCAATATGTACATAATCATGCCAAGCAAAAAGCCAGAAAATCTAGGTAAGGATTTGCTTACGGTATCTTGCAAACCATCCGGAATGTCAAAACAACTCGGAATAGATTGGGGTCTGAAATGCAACTGCCCCTACAAGCAAGCAACATGATATGATTTACTATACCAAGACATATAAACAGCAATAGCACTAACAGGAACAGATTATATCAACCCTCAAACTCAAAGGAACCCTTGGAGTATGTCTATAAGACAAAATTACCCCAAGAGAATGGACTCTCCTTTCTTTAATGATAAAAACAAATAATAATTCCACAAAGTCAGATTGAAAAACAACAGAATTTTGTACCACCCCATGCAGTCTTTGCTGAGTTATATAATGAGCATCATGGATGGGAGCTATCGAGTTTAGTTGCCCCTGTGGCAAAAACAAAGGCTCCAGTTAAGTTGTACTACTCATTTGATAAATAATTAGAAAGTTATAATCAACACTAAATGAAAATATACAAAAAAATTAGCCGAATATGAAATATGCACTACCAGCCCTTGCATGTGCTGATTGCTATAATAATGATCACGGCTTGAGGCTATGGTGCTTGGCTGCCCCTACAAGAAGATGTAAGGGACACAGGTCAAATCAACTTTAATAAGCATACGATAAATGTCGTCCGAGTCCTTCAACAGAATTCCAAAATTGTATTTTTGTAATGAGAAAAATCTCTTACAGTTCCTTGAACAATTTGTTGACTGCCAAAATAACCATCAAGGGTTGGAGCTCTTGAGACAAGTTGTTCCTACAACGAACACACAAGTAACTCCAAAATTTCAGGAAATTGTGAATTGTGAATAAACAACATTGCGAGTAAGCGACAATGTTTTCCTTTTCAAAACATTATGGTTGCCATAAAACTATACCATCCCTTGTATGCTCTATTGCGATTTATAAGAACAATTAAGGGGGTGGTCATAAATTTAAGTGCCCGACAACAAAAGTGGAACCTGCATCAAGAAATTCTTTTCATATTTTCCTATTGTAGTATATGCTTTAGAATGTGTAGTGTAGGTTTAAACAATAACATAACATGACTAACCACTTGTTGCCAGCTTTCCTGCACCCCAATGGTTATGACCTCTGGCTCTGACTGTACCTAAAAGAAATCAAAAGACATACCGAACTAAATGCCCATTCAAAAATTTCTAAAAAGAACCAGGAATATAAGCATAATAATCCCCACAAACTCAACTAACCTGTCCTTTCTTGGATGCACCATTTTTTTTGTTTGTCTTGTTTCTGCTGTTACCTTGGTTTACTCCTTCAGAGCCATGAGTCTCTCCTGAGATTGGTTCTATTACACTCTGGATTGAGTTATTTATACTCTCACAACTTCTCAGAGCTTCTTCCAATGCATTAAACGCAATATTGTAACTTTCTTGGGATAAGGAACCTTCATCACTCAATTTAAAGGCTCGTTCGCATATATCATTGTAACGTTTTACTCTACAGTCAACAGAAGCAGACCCTTCTCTCAGTGTTTGCCTATTCTTTGCATTTTTTGTCCAACGCTTTAATATATACTGAGATGGAATAGTGTGTACACCAGACATTTGCAGTACAATCATCACATGCCTACAAAGAAAGCCATTGAACTCGAACGAATGGCAGAAACAGGATATATCTGATGTCATTTCGTTCCACGCCACAACGAAATCTTGATCCTCTTCAAAATCTTGAACTCTGAAAGTTTTGATTGCTCCGTCTTCAGTTTCTTTCTTTGGGTGACAAGCAACTACTCCCAAAACTTCAACTTGGAATTTCTTAAATATTGCATGAGTATACATAGTTGCCATTTGTTTACCGAAAGGTGATGGAGACCTCAATGCTGGTTGTTTATGCCATGTTTCAAAATCAGCTTTTACTTCCTCTTCATACTTCTCTCGAAGGATTGTTTTGTATTGTTCTAAAAACTCTTTCAATGTAGTTTTCCTCTGCATGTATTTGTCAAAGAAAGAATTTATACTTTCTGATCTCTGGGTTGTAGACATCCCTGCCAGGAAAATGTCTCTCATATATGTTGGTATCCATTGTTCACGATCTTCATACAAAGATTGGAACCATACATCATCTCTTAAATTGAATCTCTCAACCATTTTCCACCATCTTTTTTCAAACTGTTCATTGGTCCAAGACTTGAAAATGCATTTGTTAAATTTAACCATAAATTTATCATGCTGCCTAATCACATAACCAAGCTTCTCAGGAATCTTGCCCAATATGTGCCACAAACACAAACAATGACGAGAATCAGGAAGGACCTCTGCAATAGCTTCTTTCAAGACTTTGTTCTGGTCACTGAGTACTACTTTTGGAGCATGTCCACCCATTGCTTTTAGCCATGCCCGCATCAGCCAGACATAGGTTGATTTACTCTCATTTGCAAGTAAAGCACATCCAAGCAAAATGAACTGAAAATGGTGGTTCACACCAATAAAGGGAACAAATGGCAATTTATATTCATTCTTGATATACGTGGTATCAAGAAATACTACATCGCAAAAATTTCCATAATCAAGTTTACCTTTGGCATCAACCCAGAACACATTTCTCAAACGCTGCTCTTCATTCAGATCGATTGCATAAAAGAAGTTCGGATTTTCATCTTGCATATACAGAAAATGGTCAAGCATAACTTGAGCATCTCCTTCCTCTAGAGATAAATGCTTTCCACTCAGTGATTGATTGGTCCCACCACCTTTTTGATTATCTGACTTCTTGTAGCCACCAGACTGTCTGGCCATATTAACATACATCTTCTTTGTTCTTCTCCGGATAGCATGTAAGCCATCAGCATCACCAGTACCTAAATCAAAATTCCTGTGCCCCCGAAAATAATAGGCTTGATCAGGAAAAATTTCATGATTATGCTCTTTAATGAAACTACGAATAATCCATCTACCATCTTGCCTCTTAACATGCATGCAGGCTTTACAATCTGTTTTTTCCCAAGATCGGCTAGCACGACCACGTTTTCTCTTAACAGAGCTGCAGATACTAGATTCTCTGGGGTTTGAAACAGACTCTGGTACTTCAGCTGTGCTAGATTCTCGTTTGCTCCCATATCTAGTGCATGCAAATTTTGCATCTATAAACTTTCCAGATACTCTCGATCGACGACTGGCCTTTATTACAGCAGCAAACCCCACAGACTTGGCATATTCTCTATAGAACGAAAATGCTTCTTCCTTTGATTCAAACTCCATTCCATCACGAGGTTCAGAATCTCTTGAAGAATTCAAATTAATTTCATCTCTAGTAACTGTCTTGTTTCTAGTATCTGACACTCTTCCATTGACATTCTGTCCGGCATTCTCTTTATCATTTACAGGACCATTAGTTACACTGACAATAGCTCTATGATTCTCTTCACCTCTGCCATCAACTATATTATTCACACTAGGTCTATTATCTTCCTTATGGTATTCTCCTGAAGGCTGCTCAAGATCTATCCCCATGGAAACAATCTAACTTCGTTTAAAGCAATCTGTTCTGACATGGACAGCAAAAATCGGGTAAATTTAGTACACGGAGAAACTGAAACAGCATTCACTGCAGTGCTAAAGTTACAAGATCACAAGTTAAAAAATACCCCAGGAGAATGAAATGCCAAAGTTACTTCATAGCTATATAATACACATTAATCACACTAAAATCTTCTAATTACATAAAACAACATTAAATACCAAGATTACCCAAAAAAACAAGTACAGAGAAGAATTGATTAATTACTACTAATCCACTTCACAATTTCATATTAACTCAAGACAGAAGATTTCACGCACAAACAAAAAAAAAAAAAAAAAAAAAAAAAAAAAAAAAGAAAACAAAGAAAGAAAAATGGAATATCCAAAAGCAACACACAGAGAACCATAACATCAAACACCCATTTGAACAACAAACAAATGAAAA